GCCAGATAGGAGCAGCGTCAACCATATCGATGTGAGGACTCAAAAGCGTAGTACGGCCGATGTCCAATTTGCCTTTGCTGAAGACATGGGCATTGGGGTGGTTTAGTCCCAGAGGGTCGTTGGCATTGAGAGGGTTGTGGCGTATGGCAGCCGCGTGTTGTCCCCCGCAACGCTACTGCGTCACGCGTAGGGAGCTGCTAGCTATTGTCCATTTTATGCAGCAGTACAGGCCCTACTTGTATGGGAGGCGGTTTGTTGTCCGCACGGACAATGCCGCCTTAAAGTACTCCTTGCGGATTGATCAACCTTCGGGTCAACTGTCCCGCTGGCTCGATGTCTTGCAGGAATACTCTTTCGAGGTCATTCACAGGAAGGGCGCACAGCATGGCAACGCAGACGTCTTGTCGCGGTTGCCTCTTGGGGGTGGTTGCGCATGCGCATCGGGCGCCAGTCGCTGCAGGACCGTTGCTGAGAACGCGCCCAAATTGGCGGCTGCAGCCAACACAATGCCCCCAATGTGGCGCCACTGCCGGCGGACTATGGGCTGGGTCTTACACCCGATTAATGGTCCCGCCTGCAGATGGAGGACGCCTCTCTGCTTAAGCTGCGACGCCACGTTAAACCGGCTAACCAAAGGGCCTCTCCAGCGAGGGCTCTGTTGTTGACCCTTCAGTACGGCCTCCTCATGTGGTGGGGCACAGAATCCCAGAGGTATTGTGCTGTCGTGCCCACGGTCCTCCGTGGGACGCTTACCTGGGTTATTCACGGTAAAGTGATGCACTTGGGGTTTCGGAAGATGTTGCTCACTATTAAACGTGACTACTATTGGCCGGGTATGGAGATGACGTGGCACTTTTTGTAAAAGATTGCCAGGACTGTGCCCGTCGTAAGCCATCAGTTCGGCAGGATCTGCCCCCGCTGCAATACATCCAGGACAAACGGGTCAACAAGTTGGTGGCTCTCGACATCCTGGGCCCCTTCCTGGTTTCAAAAAGGGGCCATAAATATCTCCTGGTCGGGATTGGGTACCTCACCCGTTGGCCTATGGCGTGGGCCTTGCCGGATCAGTCGGCCGCGTCCATAGCCGATGCCTTTGTGCATGGCTATGTGTTGGACAAGGGAGCCCCCGAGCAACTCTTGACTGACCAGGGCCGAAATATTTCCTCCAGGTTGCTCAAGGAGGTCTGCCACCTCCTGGGCATGGGGAAAATTAGGACGTCGCCCTACCACCCTCAAACTGATGGGATGGTAGAGCGATTGCATCGAGCCCTTACATCTATGTTATGCCACCAGGTGGATGTGTCCCAGTCCGATTGGGACCTGCACGTCCCAGGGATCCTTGCGGCGTACAGGTTGACACCTCATGCCTCCACGGGATTCTCCCCTTTTTTATGTACGGGAGGGAACCACCGATGCACGTCCAATTGGGCTTGGGCTCATCCGATAAAGGATCCGCGATAACTGCCCCATGCGGGTTGCGCTCGACAGGTTGTGGGACGCACGCAAGGCCACGGCAAGTAATTCGGCTAGCCGGCACGTGGCAAATGAGGGGTTGACGGTGCACCGGGGGTCCGGAACTCCGTGGGAGGTTGGTGATAAGGCCGGGCTGCATTGCCCGCAGGTGCCCCTGGGGACGTCCTGTAAATTATATCGGCCATGGCAGGGTCCAGTGGAGGTGGTAGAGGTCTGGAGACCGCAGTGTGTGTGCATCCAATTCGGCCGGCGCCGTTGGATTGTGCACCCCTCTCGGTTGAAGAGGTATGTGCCTTGTTCCGCTGAATAATCCTCAATCCCGGAGCGGCGGGTGTCTGATGTGTCTGACGAGCCGGGTCGTGGGTGTTGTGAGGTGGTGCGTCAGGGTGCTTCTTCTCCTCCACCAGCAGGATCGCAGCACCTAGTTCCCGAGGAATTGCCTGCACCCCTGCCCAGGGGGAGCGGTCTCGCCGGACCGAAATGCCACCGCTCAACCAGGTTCCGACTTGAGGAGGCGGACCAGCCTCAGGGACAAGGTCCAGGAGCGGGTTGTTCCGTTGAGCACCCTTCCTGCATCATCCACACGACGGGTCATGGAAAAAGGGGGCCTCTGCATGGGCCATCCGGTCTCTTCGCTTGGTTCCCTTGTGATTATCCTACCTTCTTGTGCTCGGTGTTATTGTTCCTCTTGTTGTGTTGTTGGCTGCTTGTCGTAGGGGTCGTCCGAAACATTTTTTTCCCCACTTCTTTGACATCACGTTGGCAACCGGGATGGCTGATTTTTCTTCACGGGGGGGGGGGGGGGGGTGATGTAGAGGAGTACCACGAGGACCCAACGAGGGGCGAGCACGGGAAGAGGGACGGAAAAAGAGGAGCCGGAGAGAGGGGAGAGAGCAGAAGGCGAGAAGGGAGAGAGGGGGATTTTGGAGGAGAGACGACTGAAAGGAGCGGGAGAAAAGAGAGGGGGGGCTGGGAGTGGAGATGGAGCGGGGTAGCTTCGGGAGAGAGGGAGGAAGGAGGAAGACATGAACGGGAGGTAGAGAAGCGTGGAGAGAGGAAGAAAGAATAAACAGCAAGCACCCCTGAGCAGAGACCTGGTCTCTGTGTGATTCTAAATACCCGGGGTGTCCAGGAGGAAGATTCTACACAAATGTAATACTTAATATTAACATTACCAAAAATAGGTAACGAGTTTAATAACAAACCATGATTACGATTAAAAAGATTACTACTTACCAGGATGACAATGAGTAACTTCAGGGCTCCTTGAACACTTCTGTGGGCTGCTTCTACTCAGAACTACGGTGGTAATGTAGTGACGTAAATGGAGTCACTATGGTGTTTAGCGCCAGCTACTGTCACAAGAGTGGAACTGTACGTTTTGAGCCTCTCTCTGGCACTAGAATAGGTATGGCATGCAAGCGGGCCCTATGGGGTATAGTTCTGGTGGGGGTCAAAGAAAGGCAGTCTGGGTAAACCCGAGAGGGCACGTGACCGCCAAAAGGGGGCTTGAGGGGCACGTGATGCTCGGTCGAAGGCGGAGCGAGGCCACGCTCGGGAGCATACAGGGGAATGGAACCCGTCGGTGCTACGTCTCTCTTTGATCCTCGGTCCTCGGTCTTCGGTCTTTACGCTCGGCATCGTGGGTCAGGCAGTGTGTTACTGATTGACCCGGTTATGTAGTTACCCCGTTATGGTCTAGTTACCCCATTGTGATTCAGTTAACCAGTGTACGTTTATGTAGTTACCGTGTTGGGGTGTGAGAATAAACGTGTTGCCTCCAAGTGCAAGTGTGTGCCCCCGTAGAACCCACTACAGTGGTACCCAGGCCATGACGCTGGGCACTGCCATGGTGGCGACCGTTTGTGTTATGGTTGAAACGTCGTGAGAATTTTTTTTGTTTTATAGATATTTTATTACTTTATTGTTTCCCTTCAACGTGACTTTACCGAAAGAGCTAAGAATATGAATTACTGCAGTCACGAAAGCTTTCAATCAAAATTTAACACATGTTTTATTTAGAAATGTTAATTTTCATGAAAACTTTTTTTCTCGAGTGCGATAATTGTGAAACGCATGGCGTACGCATGAAGTGTGTCTCTAAAAGGTGAATAGCATAACTGTGAACTCGCGCTATGAGAGGGAGGCAAGTGCCTTATGCGAGGGATGGCCTGTACAGCCAACGTATCCGGCCTTCATTTATCTTGCTGAAGAGATGTTAACTACCTTGCCTGGTATACAGGAGGTCGCGAGTTTGATGGCGACGCCGATGCCTGCTGCTGTATATTTTGCGAGTTTGCGTGTTCTCCCCGTGGTCGTGTGGATTTTTCTCCGGGTCTTCCCTCCACAGGTAGAAATGTGCGTTTCAGAGTATTTGGCTATCCACATGATCCACTTTGTTGCGCCATCATTTGTGATAGCCAGGGGTCGCTATATAACTCAGTGGGTCCTTAACTGGTAAAATAAAAAAGTGTTCATGGTTTAAAGCCAAAGTGAGAGGTGGAGTGGATGTGGTGTGCCGGGTCTGAACATCATTTCCGAGTCGCAGCTCTATCTGGCTGCAATGAAGCCTTGCTTGGTGCGTGTGTAGTGATATGGAATAGGAAACTACGCTATGTAGCGCTGGCTGCTGGCAAAAAGCTCGGCTACCATGGCAACCCTGTCGGCCAGAGGTGAGGGGGTCGGCGGGAGGAAGGGATGTGGGGAGGGGACGGAGGGGGCACGGGAGAAGCCCGGGAACCTTCTAGGGGGTTCTAGAAGGGGGGCGTGGCCAAGGGGGAGCGAGGCTGTGCTGGGGGGGATGTAAGGGGGACCCCGGAGAGGACTCAGGGCCGTTGTTGGAGTGGACCCCTGGAGCCCGTCAAGTCCCATCAAGTCAAGCCCCGTCAAGTCTTCGTCATCGACAACATCGTCTTACCCTCGTCTCAGCGTTGTGGGTCAGGCAGCCCGTTGCTGTCCTGACCTTACTATAGTATTCTCAGTGTCTGTGAAGGCTATAAATAGAGTGCCTCCTGATATAGTGTCTCTCTCGCCTGTCACTACACGTGTACCGAGGCAGTTCCTGAATGCAGACGAGGAATTCGGTGCGCGAGAGCAGGCTGGAGTCTTTTTGGCAGACATCTCTTATCTACTGCTGGACGATCGCCCCATCGTGTTATTGCCATGCCCGATTACTGACTGTCAAATGACTTATCTACAAAGCCTTAAGGTGAAGCACCAATAGTAAACGTGATACGCAGACACCTCCGATTAGCACGGTTGGCTACGTACGGTGCGACAGAAGTTCAATATATCAACATCTATAAGCCGCTAAAACTCAGGTCTGATTACGTATACGTTCAGCACAGAAAAACAAGTCGTGGCAATTGCTACGCTATAAAACCACACTATCTACGGTTTAACGCGGTCTGTGAACGGCATCATTGTTTACCGTCAATTTATTTCCGTTTCATAGCATTTAGTTTACAATGGTGACACCTGCACTCGAGCAAAGGTTTTTTTCATCATTTCATAGACCAGGTCACTCCTTTTTATTCAAGCATTTGTTTTATTAATTTATAACCAACAACATTTCTTGCCTATAAAGTAGCACAGCTTCAAAGGTACTTGATTGAAGGTTACACAAACCTTTTGGGATAAACCGGCATAAACACAACGTAAACACATCGTACGTGCACAGGCACAGTCTCACACAGCCGATCAACTCAAATGTATCGCTCCGATGATTACAATGAACGAAGTGCAGGGTGATCCATTTATTGTATCGATCACAGAGAGACGATGGGCTGAGTCAACCCCCAACCAGGATTTGGTTGGCGAGATGAAATCCCTCGCCTGTTATACAGGTCGTAGGTTCGATCCTGACCCAACGCTTGTATATTTGGAGTTTGCATGTGTCTCTCTCCCCCGTGGTCAGGACTTTTCTCCGCGTTTATGAGGATTTAAGCTGCGATAAAGTTCCAAATAAGCCACTTCGTAGAGATATAATTTGCGGCCAGGTTGTTTTATAGCTCGAATGGGCCTTATACCTGGTACAATAAAACACATGATTTAGATTAGTTTCATTTGATAGACCGACAACACCCCGACCGAGTGCCCCATTCTGGTCTGCCAGTTCCGATGAAACCCCCGATTGCTCAACACATTCTTACCCGCCCAAAACGGCCACCGTTCACTGCAGGAAAGCGACCTTGCTCCGCCGGAGGAGCCCTTCACGCGCGACATCGATCCCGACAGCGATACCAGCACACGGCGTTCGCGTTCAATACCATCCACGCCTCGCTCCCCGTGCAGCAACGTGCGACTGGGTTACAAGAGGAGGTTGCGTTGGATGAACCACCCCCACCACCCTCCCCACCACCCCCCCACTCCCCCCACAATGGAACACGTTGGGGTTTGGCCCATCTTCCATTAGCTGCGACGCACGCACGCGTGTACAATTGTCTGTTAATGGTTATCGGATTTCGCGTCGCATAATTTGGATCGAAACGCATTTGAACGAAGCTGCTGCCCCCCACACATTTGGAACCTGCCCCGTTTCGTCTCTTGGCATATCTCCGTATGTGTATGTCCTCATTTAAACTATCCATGAGTTTCTTTCGGGTTCGATCGCGTAAATATAAACGCGTTGTTTAACTCGCCACCACCCGACACAGCGAATTAATGAGGTTACGAAAATAAAACGTAGAAATTGTTGTGGGGTTACTCTCCAACACACAACCGGTGTGCTGTACTAGTAGCGAATTGGCATGTTTTGTTTACGTGACAAACCATACTAATTGGCCGTGTCGGGTGGTGGCGGGTTTAACGACACATCTATAGTTACGCGATCTAATCCAAAAAAACTATCTTATGGATAATGTTGGTCGCGAAAGCCTCATATGTGTCAAAACAAATCACACTGGCTAGGTTGGACAAGTGCACCAGGTGAGTTGTAAAACAATAACGTCCACTGTATTGAGATCGGAGCTTCGCATTCAAATGCCGTTTTCTTAATTAAAAAAAATATCCCTATTATTTTCGTGGGGGGGAGGGGTATCTATAAACGGATCACCCTGTGTTTCAAACTTCAAATGTATAACGAAGCAGATCCTGCCATCAAAACTGATGCATTCACCAAACCAGATGCATTAACCTAGGTTTACCCGAGTTCATAGCGGCCCTGAGAATGATTGTTAAAGGGCGCTTTATAAATGTAAAATATTATTCATTCACGTCGCATGCATGGGTCAATGTACAGTTTGAAAGGGTTTCTTTAGTTGTATTATAAGCGGTTCGCAAACTATTTGGCATTCCATCAGGTGGTACTACACCGCGTTGTTAAACCGCTCTCCTGAGTCCCGAATTATCAATACGATAGGGTCCCTCGGTTAACGATGTTAATGGGTTCCACGAAAGACCCGTCGTTAATTGAAATGATCGTGAATCGAATGTAGGAAATGCACATTTAGAGGGCTTCATTTCTTCCGAGACGATCAGAAGTTGCCCTTTTTTCCCACCCTAAAAATATACTTTGTAATATTGAAACACGCAATTTTAATTAATAAACGTTATAAGAACATGTTAAGTATTAAAGAGAGCTTTTTTCTATAAACGCACACCAAACATTGAAAAGCCAGCAGTTGCTCCCAAAACGCTCATCGTCGCCGATTGGCTGAGGTCTGCTGCCGAGCCCACTTTAGGAGCGCTCCGATTGGCCGAAATTGGCGGGGCCACGTGACACCGTAAAACAAAAACGTTAATCGAAAATGTTCCGTTAATAGAAACAATGGGGAGAGGCGGATCTTTAATGAAAATCTCGTTAATCGATTGGCATCGTAAACCGAGGGGGCTACTGTACAAACGACGACCTTGGATGCTATCAAACCGGCTCAACGTATACTTCAAAATGCCCACGAAGAGACCGCTGCAGGTACAATATTGCAAGCGTTTCCTAGCACCATACCAACACCGCAAGTCAGGGTACAAGCGGCCCCCCCGCTGGGCTCAAAGAACGGCTACAAAATGCAAGGTCAGAACATTTGGGGGGGGGGGAAGGGCAATTAAAATATTAATCGCCTTCATAGTTTTCTGTAATTCAATAAATGGCTCCCGTTGATGACATGCGAGATAGTGGCTCTCTCTGGTCGATGTAGTGCAATGACTGGCGTTCCGTGTTATCGTGCTAAAACGAGTCTCGGCATGGACATTACCGGCCCAAGTGTTGTTGGTTGATATCCCGTCAAACTGAAGTAACTTCCGAATGCCGTACTATTGTACGTTTCCCTTAAACAAAAAAACTTTGGCAATTTTTTTACATTAGTGATATTTTTTTTATGTAAAGCATTCGCTGGCTTTGGACGAAATGATTACACATCTGTCAACCCATACGGTTCACGCTGTATTCTTGTACGCAGGGAAAATTCGTTTTCAGGTCAATACGGCGTACAGCCGTTTTCAATACGGGAAACAACAAAATCATGTCTGTGTTTCTCCCTTGTGATGGGACTTTATAGGATGAACGTTGAGATTTATAAGGGCACGGCGTGACCAATAAGGTCTGAATCGGTCTGTAATAAGGTAGGCAACTGATAAGGGATTGACATCTGTAGGATGATGGGCACAGGTCAAGTGCACCTCCAAATGATAACTGAAAAACAAATCATGGTGAGAACATGCAAACGTGAACAATAATTTAACAAAAATTGTTAAATTATTTTCCTATTTTGACACAAAAGCATTGGGCGAAAATTGCCGTGAGCAGTTGGACTGCAGTTTTACGTTTAAGACGACACAATACCGCAAAGGATGCAGTGCCACTTGATTTTAGGCGATCACCGATCAAAACTACTCATTTAAAAGCATATACAAGTCAGTATTTTTTTTTACAATCTAACTTTGTTTTACTTTGGTCCTATTATAAATACATTCTATCTCAATGGACTGTTTACGTTTAACATGCAGGCCTTCGCAATCAATGGTTCACGATCGATGTTTGGGTTAGACTGCTTAAGGATGTTTGCCGTACATCCTCCTTCACCTGACGCGGCCAATTCATAATAAAGTTGTCGCACGTAAACGAACGTGCAAACTTATTACTGCTTGAGCATGGCGGTGTGTGAGCGAACAATCCACAACATTTAACTTGGTACAAGGTTTCGCTGCCAGTTACAACCAGCATCATCTGAACACATTCAGGATTGCTGGCAATTGCCCGCCGCTTGTTCACGTAATTTAATAAATTCGCTGTCGGGTAGAGGGTTTACAACACACATTTTCCCTTGAGAGCTGCTTTTTGTTGTGTTGTTTGTTGTCCCTCCCCCGCACCTCCGATTAGCACGGTTGGCTACGTACGGTGCGAAAGAAGTTCAACAGACACGTATCTACACGGTCTAACCCAAAAATCAAATATGGATTGTATACGACAAACTAATTGTACGCAATTGATAATTATGTGAAGTTGATTATGACACGCCAAGCGGTCTCCTCGATTTAAGTCGGATCGCAATGCTATATCCACAAGGTCCTGGCTCGTCGGAACGCAACGGGTGGAGGGAGGGGGATTTCAAGAGTTTCTCTCAGACCTCCGTGATCCACCAACCCCTGCCTGGCAGGTTTGCGTCCAACGAGTGGCCTCGCTCTGCCGCCACGGCACCTCCACCCCACGTGGCCACGGGAGTTGAGCGATCGCGAGGCGTTTGCTCACTGCTGGGGACGTGCAAAAATGTGTAATGTCCCACGTGATTCATTCATATTAAAACTGCCATCAACGTTCATTGACGAGAACTTCAAATTAAAAACCAATGACTCAAATACAATGCAGTAGGTAATGTGCATGTCGGTGGCTGAGCCAGCGGGTGTAAATGAAACATTCCTATGGTTCAGACTACTCTATAAAATCAGGCTAAATACACTAAGCAATATATTAAATATATCCTTTGATTACATCTTAAAAAGTTGCAGTCCTTTGACCTTATTTTTGTATGCGTACGGTGCTGTTTGAATTGCATACTTGAAGGTGCGTTCAGCTCAGTGATGCTACCCGTCTTCCTCCAAGATGCACATTAACTCGTATGTATGTGTAGTACAGGGTACGTCAAACTTTTGTTTAACACTTCTGAGAATTTGCAACAATACCACAATAAAAGTGCTTCCGGGCTCTGGAGACCACCTGGAGAAGATTCCAGGTATGCGTTGACAATGATGGCGAACAAATGGAGACTGACTTTTTGAAGCTATTAACATACATTTGTGATAACTTTACAGTGTATTGTCCGTTCTTTATTCCATTAAAAACGATAGCCCCATATAAGTGTAATTTTTTTTGAAGCACCCTGTACATTGAGGAAAAAAAAAGATATTTTCCTGCGACAGTAAACTGCGTGAAATCATAGCCAGGATATAAAAGAGCACACAACCTATAATTTAAATACACGATCGTTTGCCTAAATTAACACCTTCCGAGAGCACCGAATTCTCGGCACCTGCATTGGCAGCGCTTTCCCATCACGAAGAGTGCTGTGCACTTGGCATTCTACAGAGAACATCTGACGGACAGCCACTTTACCGAAGGCGCCAAAAGCGCTCGAGACTCTGCCGCGTGCAGCGTTACCGCGAGATCGGGGGGGGGGGGGGGGGTCTATGTCCCGAAAGATGGTTTTCTTTGTTTGCCTTCACGAAAGGATTATTGCGAAGCCATATATCGTGGTCACACATTGTGTATACGCACATTTCCGGTTGATAAAAAGCAGGCATCATGCTCTCCATGCATCACTGGCGAACCGGCTGAGGAGCAGCAAGGGGCGAGGTGCAGCCTCGCGTTAAAAATACCAGACCAGCTACAAAGACGACGACCTCAATTTAAACGAGTGTTGAATTGTAAAAGATGCACGATAAATATATAACGTTCTATGTAGAAATGACTTCCACTTGTGAAGGCATGCAGGGTCTTTACATGCCAAACATTACATGACTGACCGAGCGTTTGGCAAAAAATGGGAAATATTACTGAGCACACGAGTCTCTCATCTGTTATTTACAGTTTTTCGACAACTGAAAAAGTTTGGTTGGAGTGCGTAAAGCGTCGTCATTTCAGAAATTGCGGGTGAAAAACTTTAACCCGGTAGATTTGTTATTCTGCAAGGACAATGTATGCTAATCTTGGAAACTAACCTTGGAATGGGGACTGACATTCGTTTGGGACGTTGGAGATCGTCAAAAAGAACGCTCAAATTTTCTATTTCCTAACGGTGCATCGCGCACACCACGGCTACAAAGCACGAAACAAGCCAACGGCTCTCTCGCCGCCCACACGAACGTTGGCGTTTTAACGGCAGCGTGTCCAGGCGGATGCCAGCGTGTCCCCGACGGCACCGAGCTACAGTGCCACGCAAGCTTCGCGGGCGAGAGACTGCCGCGCGTGGGGTCTCTCGTGCCACTCGTTCTGATTCCGCTATAATTTGGCACTCACTAAATTGTAAATGCTGTGGGTTCACTCTTCAACACACCGGGTGTGCTTGAATAGTAACAAATCAGCACGTTTTGTTTACGTGACAAACGTTACCAATTGGCCGTGTCGGGGGCGGTGGCGGTGTTTAACGACAAGGATCTAACACAAACAAAAAACCCTCTTGTGGATAAGTGCTGCACGTTTGATCCCAACTTCAGTCCATTCAGCGTTTTTATATTAAATACGAACATTTCCGTAAAATCACGCATTGCAAGTTTTCACATTGAACCACGTTTGTTTACATTCCAAAAGGCGACGTCTTGTTTCGTACACCGGCCGTTTAAAAAAGGAAAAAAATGGTTTTTAGTTTTATTTCAATCCCGACGTTGAATCCGTGCCTGTGCCTTAGCCTGGCGCGTGCGCTCAGGCCTGGTCGCAATACAGCTGTGAAGCGAGGTACACCAGGTGGGCGTTGGCCTCCCCCGTCGCTATGGTCACAGATGCCTGCCCTCCTCCGCCGCCGTCTGTGACGATCACCTCCGTGGGAAGGTGGGACGTTGTCATGGCAACCAATTGCTCTATGGGTAGAATATCGGCCTCGGATTTCGGTTCTGTTTTCAGGTATGCTGTGGAAGAGTCCTCCATGTCGGTCTTCTTATGGGAAATTTTTTCACCTGTGGACGAAAAAAAATCGAATCAGATCTGCATATGTATATACATACGGTTTAACATGTAGGCTTTCACGACCAATATTATCCATAATAGTTTTTTGGGTTAGATCGCGTTAATATAAATGTGTCATTTACACCCGCCACAGCCAATTTGTAAGGTTTGTCGCGTAATTAAAACGTGCCAATTAGTTACTAGTACAGCACACCGATGTGTTGGAGAGTAAACCCACTACAACATTTACAATTCGAGTACCATAACGTTTCGCCAGTAATTACAACAGTCTCTTCAGGTGACAGCCAAATCTGGTTGTCACCTGAAGGCTACGTTGGGTTGTGACTGGTTTAATGACACATTTATATTTACGCAATCTAACCCCCCAAAAAAACCCCTCTATTATGGATATCTACACATGTTGTACTTTTCCGCACCGTACGTAGCCAACCGTGCTAATTGGAGGTGTGGCATAAAGACAACAAACTAAACACAAAAAGCACTTGTGTAGAAATATTTTTTCAATCGAGATTATTTAAAAGTACACAGCTCCTGTGGCTTCCTCATATCGAAAGAGCATTCCAGAAGGCCGCAGAAGTGCATCTGAAAGCGCGCGATGCGGTAACTGTCTTTGTTCGATGGTTAGCCAAAAGCCGCTGTGAGGCTGACCGGAGTTTGCTTGATGGTTTATGCAATAAACATCACCTGAAAGTGTGATCTGTATGATAGCGGTGTGGGTCCTGTGATTACAGTAAATAATTTCCTTTGAAGTTGCGATTATTTTGATGCTAGTTTACCTTGCTAAAGGCACCACGGTGGTGAGATGTTAACTAGCTCCCCTGGTGTACAACTTTCAGATGCGCATCTGGGGCCGTCTGGAACGCTTTTGCTTACAATATTCGGCTCACTGGAGCGATGCACTTTTAAATCAACATCTAGATTGACAAACTAATTTCTTTACAACTACTTTTTGTGTTTAGTTTGTTGTCCTTCGATTCGCATGGTTGCATACGTAGAGTGCGAAATAAGTTCAACATACATACAGTGAGGGAAAAAAGTATTTGATCCCCTGCTGATTTTGTACGTTTGCCCACTGACAAAGAAATGACCACTCTATCATTTTAATGGTAGGTTTATTTGAACAGTGAGAGACAGAATAACAACAACAAAATCCAGAAAAACGCATGTCAAAAATGTTATAAATTGATTTGCATTTTAATGAGGGAAATAAGTATTTGATCCCCTCTCAATCAGAAAGATTTCTGGCTCCCAGGTGTCTTTTATACAGATAACGAGCTGAGATTAGGAGCACACTCTTAAAGGGAGTGCTCCTAATCTCAGCTTGTTACCTGTATAAAAGACACCTGTCCACAGAAGCAATCAATCAATCAGATTACAAACTCTCCACCATGGCCAAGATCAAAGAGCGCTCCAAGGATGTCAGGGACAAGATTGTAGACCTACACAAGGCTGGAATGGGGTACAAGACCATTTCCAAGCAGCTTGGTGAGAAGGTGACAACAGTTGGTGCAATTATTCGCAATTGGAAGAAACACAAACAAACTGTCAATCTCCCTCGGCCTGGGGCTCCATGCAAGATCTCACCTCGTGGAGTTGCAATGATCATGAGAACGATGAGGAATCAGCCCAGAACTACACGGGAGAATCTTGTCAATGATCTCAAGGCAGCTGGGACCATAGTCACCAAGAAAACAATTGGTAACACACTATGCCGTGAAGGACTGAAATCCTGCAGTGCCCGCAAGGTCCCCCTGCTCAAGAAAGCACATACATGCCCGTCTGAAGTTTGCCAATGAACATCTGAATGATTCAGAGGACAACTGGGTGAAAATGTTGTGGTCAAATGAGACCAAAATGGAGCTCTTTGGCATCAACTCAACTCACCGTGTTTGGAGGAGGAGGAGGAGGAATGCTGCCTATGACCCCAAGAACACCATCCACACCGTCAAACATGGAGGTGGAAACATTATGCTTTGGGGGTGTTTTTCTGCTAAGGGGACAGGACAACTTCACCGCATCAAAGGGACGATGGACGGGGCCATGTGTCGTCAAATCTTTGGTGAGAACCTCCTTCCCTCAGCCAGGGCATTGAAAATGGGTCGTGGATGGGTATTCCAGCATGACAATGACCCAAAACACACGGCCAAGGCAACAAAGGAATGGCTCAAGAAGAAGCACATTATGGTCCTGGAGTGGCCTAGTCAGTCTCCAGACCTTAATCCCATAAAAAATCTGAGGAGGGAGCTGAAGGTTCGAGTTGCCAAACGTCAGCCTCAAAACCTTAATGGCTTGGAGAAGATCTGCAAAGAGGAGTGGGACAAAATCCCTCCTGAGATGTGTGCAAACCTGGTGGCTAACTACAAGCAACGTCTGACCTCTGTGATTGCCAACAAGGGTTTTGCGACCAAGTACTAAGTCATGTTTTGCAGAGGGGTCAAATACTTATTTCCCTCATTAAAATGCAAATCAATTTATAACATTTTTGACATGCGTTTTTCTGTATATTTTTTGTTGTTATTCTGTCTCTCACTGTTCAAATAAACCTACCATTAAAATTATAGACTGATCATTTCTTTGTCAGTGGGCAAACGTACAAAATCAGCAGGGGATCAAATACTTTTTTTCCCTCACTGTACGTACATAGACTTACACACACAGGCCCATAGTTTGTTGTCCTTCCCCCGCACCTCCAATTAGCACGGTTGGCTATGTGTGCGAAAGACGTTCAACATATACACATATAAGTTTCACAGCTCTGCAACACCGAAAACCGTGTATTCTGCGCTGGTTTTATGTTCACCATTCAATCCTTGCAGCCGACACCAGCTTACCCAAATGCACGCGGTTGAGGTGCTTGCGCAGATTTTTTGCATCCGTGTACAAGTTTCCACATATTTCACAAATAAACGGCCTCTCGCCTGCAGAAAACACAAAAATGTTACACATCTGTATTAATATACAAACGCTGGTTTAAGCTGGTGACCAATGTTTAAAAACAGAAATATCAGTGGTTTGCGGTTAAGATCCCAAGTGGGAAATACAACTACTATAACTGGTTGAAGTGGAATTGCTATTAAATCTTAACTTAAAGCTTTCGTGACTGCAGGAATTCATATTCTTTGGGTCTTTCGGTAAAGTCACGTAGATAGGTTCAAAGTAAATAACAAAAATAACAAAAAACTACGATGTTTCGGTTGCAAAGCAAGCGGTCGTCATCAGGCTGAAAAAAAGGGGAAAGCTGCGGAGGCAGACTGTTTTAAAGTTTTAAAATGGGTGTAGCCCAAGGGTCTTAAACGAAGTGGGCGGGGCTATTGATGTTAATGTGAGAAATTAGCATGTTGCTGTATGATCGGAGGGCGACCCCCATGACAAGCGGGTGGAGGTCGTCGTCGGATCTCCCATTAACATGCTAAGTTCTCTCAAATTAACATAGCCACCTCCGTGCGCTCGTCGTGGAGGTCGCCCTCCGATCATACAGTAACATGCTAATTTCTCACATTAACATCAATAGCCCCGCCCACTTCGTTTATGACCCTTGGGCTACACCCATTTTTAAACTTTAAAACAGTCTGCCTCAGCAGCTTTCCTCTCTTTTTTCAGCCTGATGACGACCGCTTGCGTTGCGATTGAAACGTAGTTTTTTTTATTATTTTCTTTGAACCTATCTACGTGACTTTACCGAAAGACCCAAAGAATATGGAATTGTTATCCTCACTGTCTATCGTGATAAAATAGTTACAGGCTTAAACAATCTACTACTGGATGACAGACTACCCATGCTGTACCAGCAATGTGGATTTTATTTTACAATACTTCTCCATTCTGGTCAGCGTGTGTGTGGAGGGGGTTGGGTGGTGGTGGCCAGAACCAGTTTATATTTGCAAGATATTAACTACCTCGCCTGATATACAGGAGGTCGTGGGTTCAGTCCCGACCCTGACGCCTGCTGTATATTTGTAGTCTACGTGTCTCTCTCCCTGTGGTCGTGTGGATTTTTCTCCACATTTAGAATCAACATCATGCGTTTAGAGTATTTGGCTGCTGCTAAAAAATTTCGACATGATAAGCCACTTTGTCGAGCTATCATTTGTGGTCAAGTCACTTCCGAAAAAGAGCTACATAGCTCAGTGGGAGGGTCTGACCTGGTAAAAAAATATTCCTTTCTTTCAGTTTTTATTATTTCATTTTTATCACTCACCGCCGATATTATTCGTAGCTGGGAATCGAACTCAGGTCACCAGATTCACAGTGCAGTAGTGTGCTAACCACTGACCGTGTGGACATTAATGCACATATGTTCACAGTCATTCAACGAACTCACCGGTATGCGAGCGCGAGTGTTTTTTTAGCTCCCCTGAGGAGCAAAAACATTTCCCGCAGGTGTTACATATGTAGGGCTTCTCACCTACACAGGGGTAACAGGATATTGTTTACACTGCATTGGTTAAACAACCACTTGTAAACTCGTACAGTACAACAAAATAAACTCCCACATTCAAATGAGTTGGACAGGACATCGCCGGACCTTCACCGATGTTCCAAGCCAGTGGTGGAAATTCCACATTCCCTTGACAAGGGCCAGTATCTCCACTTACATGTTACAAAGTGGTCCTCATTTTAATTGGCCCGGGTTATTGCTAAAACAATTTTTTTTAAAGATATTTAATTCAACAAAAGTCAATAACTTTTAAAATTTGAAGAAGACAATGACATATTTAGCTAAACCGGAAGCTGATTAATTCACGAAGACAAGGGAAACTGGATATAAAACTAGGGGTTTTGCTTCCTCATTCAAACCGTGCTGTTGGTATCTTACAGTAGAACCCCTCTTAATGACCACCCCTGTTAATGACTAATTGGTTAACGATGGGCCTCCATAGAGCCGAATGTGTAGTGTATAGTGTAGTGTATAGTAGTTTAGTGTGTAGTGTAGAGTAGATCCCCTCTAAACAACCACTCCTGTTAACGACTAATCGCTTAACGACGGGCCTCCATAGAGCCCAATGTGTAGTGTATAGTAGTTTAGTGTATAATAATGTAGTGTATAGTAGTGTACAGTGTATAGTAGTGTCGAGTAGAGCCCCTCTTAACGACCACCCCTGTTAACGACTAATCGCTTAACGACGGGCCTCCATAGAGCCCAATGTGTAGTGTATAGTAGTGTAGTGTATAGTAGTGTACTGCCTCCAAAGAGCCCAATATGTTCGCTTACCGACCATTCCCCAGTTAATGACAGGCTGTTGTAGGTACAGTAAATATTAATTAATGTATTTATTAACCATATTTATTTTAATGTTACGTGTTTACAATGTTGTTGGTACCTTTATGTATTTATATCCATTGTTTAAATATTAGAAAGTACTTTCGATGATGTCGGAACAAATTAAGCCTTTAACGTGTACTTCCCATACTCGCTGAACGACCAAATCACTTAATGACTGGTTTCGTGGAGCCAATTACCGGCGTTAAGAAGGGTTCTACCGTATATACAGTGAGGGAAAAAAGTATTTGATCCCCTGCTGATTTTGTACGTTTGCCCACTGACAAAGAAATGCTCAGTCTATAATTGTAATGGTAGGTTTATTTGAACAGTGAGAGACAGAATAACAACAAAAAAATCCAGAAAAACGCATGTCAAAAATGTCATGAATTGATTTGCATTTTAATGAGGGAAATAAGTAATTGACCCCTCTGCAAAACATGACTTAGTACTTCGTGGCAAAAACCCTTGTTGGCAATCACAGAGGTCAGACGTTTCTTGTAGTTGGCTACCAGGTTTGCACACATCTCAGGAGGGATTTTGTCCCACTCCTCTTTACAGATATTCTCCAAGTCATTAAGGTTTTGAGGCTGACGTTTGGAAACTCGAACCTTCAGCTCCCTCCACAGATTTTCTATGGGATTAAGGTCTGGAGACTGGCTAGGCCACTCCAGGACCTTAATGTGCTTCTTCTTGAGCCACTCCTTTGTTGCCTTGGCCATGTGTTTTGGGTCATTGTCATGCTGGAATACCCATCCACGACCAATTTTCAATGCCCTGGCTGAGGGAAGGAGGTTCTCACCCAAGATTTGACGGTACATGGCCCCGTCCATCGTCCCTTTGATGCGGTGAAGTTGTCCTGTCCCCTTAGCAGAAAAACACCCCCAAAGCATAATGTTTCCACCTCCATGTTTGACGGTGGGGATGGTGTTCTTGGGGTCATAGGCAGCATTCCTCCTCCTCCAAACACGGCGAGTTGAGTTGATGCCAAAGAGCTCCATTTTGGTCTCATCTGACTACAACACTTTCACCCAGTTGTCTTCTGAATCATTCAGATGTTTATTGGCAAACTTCAGACGGACATGTATATGTGCTTTCTTGAGCAGGGGGACCTTGCGGGTGCTGCAGGATTTCAGTCCTTCACGGCGTAGTGTGTTACCAATTGTTTTTTTGTATACTATGGTCCCAGCTGCCTTGAGATCATTGACAAGATCCTCCCGTGTAGTTCTGGGCTGATTCCTCACCGTTCTCATGATCATTGCAACTCCACGAGGTGAGATCTTTCATGGAGCCCCAGGCCGAGGGAGATTGACAGTTCTTTTGTGTTTCTTCCATTTGCGAATAATCACACCAACTGTTGTGACCTTCTCACCAAGCTGCTTGGCAATGGTCTTGTAGCCCATTCCAGCCTTGTGTAGGTCTACAATCTTGTCCCTGACATCCTTGGAGAGCTCTTTGGTCTTGGCCATGGTGGAGAGTTTGGAATCTGATTGATTGCTTGTGGACAGGTGTCTTTTATACAGGTAACAAGCTGGGATTAGGAGCACTCCCTTTAAGAGTGTGCTCTAATCTCAGCTCGTTACCTGTATAAAAGACACCTGGGAGCCAGAAATCTTTCTGATTGAGAGGAGGTCAAATACTAATTTCCCTCATTAACATGCAAATCAATTTATAACATTTTCCACATGCGTTTTCCTGGATTTTCCCTCACTGTACCTTCATCAAATCGTGTTCTCAAATCGTCTTGGCCCAGTCAGAGATTTGGACTGAGACCAACTCCTCAAAACAATCAAGAACCCGGCTTAACCACTTTCCCGTTCCGAGACGTCTGCAAGTCGCAGGGTGTGGCGGTGTCTCATTCACCGCTGAACCTCAGAACGCGCGAACGGTAATTTTTGATTTAGGGAGGCGTAGTAGTGCCGCTGTTTTTAAAGACGTTGTTACTCACTGCAGAGAACCGCAGCGACACGACTGCCGCACTCTACGATAATCGCCACCAAAACTGTGCCGCACGCCCTCCCGCATGGCCTTGTGGAAGCCTCGGTACCGATTAAGTTATTTTATTAAAATGTTTTATTCCGGTTTCATTTTGATGACGTACACGTACGCCTGTACGGGAAGACAGGCTGGCCGGGTCGTTCCTGCCGTTGTCCCCTTCTAAGAGGCAGTAGAAAAAGAGGAAGAAGGAGAAGAAGGTGAAGAGAAAGAGGAAGAAGGTGAAGAAGAAGGTGAAGAGAAGAAGTTGAAGAGAAAGAAGGTGAACAGGAAGAAGAAGAAGGTGAACAGGAAGAAGGTGAAGAGGAAGAAGGCGACGCACCGGTGTGCTTGCGCGCATGCGTGATGAGCGAGCTGGACACGGCGAAGGTCCTGCCGCACACGTTGCACACGTAAGGGCGCTCGCCCGTGTGCCGGCGCACGTGGTAGGTGAGCGTGCTCGCCTGAGCGAACCGCTGCCCGCACGTGTCGCACATGTACGGCTTCTCTCCGCTGTGTTTCCTGCTGGCAGGGGAACGAGATGGCCCCTTAAAAGTTGTTTGCTTTTACGAAACGGCGCTTTTCATTGCATCCATTTAATCATCGTATTTTGCATTTATAATACTTAATTATCATTATCATGTATGTATGTTGAACTTCTTTCGCACTGTCCGTTGTCAACCACGCTAATCGTGCAGGGGAAGGACAAAAAACTAAACACAAAAAGCAGTTAAAAAGAAACGAGTTTTTCAATCTAGATTATTTAAACGTGCATAGCTCCAGTGGCTTCCTAATATCATCACGATTCATAGTCACACAGCCCCGTAGGTGTCCACTGCACATTTCGTCTTGCAGTGTGCCAGTATGCTCAAGTGGTGCCACATCTTTCTGGCAAAAACCTCTCTGATGTCGCCGTTAATCCATTCTCTGTTTGGTCTTCCCCTCTTCCGGTTAATTTAAGACCTTAATTTTACATTGCGTCATTCATTCCAAAAGTATCCTACACCGCTGTTCATTAATTAAATATAAGGACTGAATCCCGTACACATTGTTGGCTATGCACGGCGCGAAAGAAGCCCAACGCACACTTACACCGAGCAAATGAAAACCCCCTACTACTACTACCAAGCAAAATCAACAAAGGAATACACAAATTAAGAAATGGCACCGAAACAGAAAGCACTAACAAATAACTAAAAAAGGTTATCAGAACCAAACCCCAAAAAATCAGTCGTCCATTATGCCGCTTAAATGCCTCAGCATCTCAAAGCACCTCGCATCACGTCTCAAACATTAGAAGGCCAACCCCAGTCGCTGCTGCCCTGTGTGGAAAAAGGGGACTTTGGCACCGGCTTGTGAGCGGGCTTTAGTTTGCCAGGCGTGGTGCTGGGGAAAGGGGGGGATGATTGCCGCACACAAGCTCAATTGAGAAATTTTCGGGGTGACATTTTTGGAAATTTGGCAAGTTTGGACGATGGCACCAGCGACACAATGGCCTACTCGTATCCAACGACGGTCACGGGTCATTTGACGTGCGGTGAACCAGTAGCGATCAACGATTAGATGAACTAATGTCGGATATGGCTATTGTTCACAATTGCACCCAATCAAAAAATAAAAACATAATTGTAAAAAAAAAATTGAACAAAAATTCATATAAAAATAATAATTAAAAAAACCCTCCATTGCGAAGCAGGCGGGGCCGGTGCATCGTGTGCATTATTTACCCCCAGCGTTAACCAGGGGGGCCTGCTGGAAATGAACCGTGAATCTTTGCAGCGAACGGCGAATGCGCCGCTCCCGCTGTTTGAGTGCCCGCTGACACACTACTTTTCATTGTCAAGACGCTTCTCATTAGATGCCATTTAATCAATGGAATAAATATAGCTTGGGAGTATCAAGGTAAACATTTTTTGCAATCAACGCTTTGAAATACTGTACAAATTTTAAATATTAACTTTTTATATCAAATGTACTATGCCGCAGAGGCGCGCACACGAAGGGGACGAGCATCTCTTTAAAATATTCACGCGGCCCAGTTCACGTGTCCCTGGTGCCGTTTGACAGGCCAGTAGTGGTGGTGGTGACGGCTTGGACCATTGCCTTGTACGGGACAGGCGAGGTTGTTAACATCTCGACCACAGTGCCGACATGTTAACTCCCTCACCTGGTATACAGAAGGTCGTGGGTTCGATTCCGACCCTGACGCCTGCTGTATATTTGAAGTATTCATGTCTCGATCCCCGTGGTCGTGTGGATTTTTCTCTGGGTCCTCCGGTTTTTCCCTTCACATTTAGAAACATGTGTTTATCGTAGTTGGCTGCTATACATTTCTACGTGAATAGCCACTTCATTGTGCTATCATTTGTGATAGTCAGGTCGCTTCTGAAATAGAGCTATATTGCTCAGTGGGCCTTACCTGGTAAAATAAAAATAGTTTAGTAATTTGCAGGTACATTTTCAGCGTGAGATGTTTGGTCAATACCACTGACAATTACGTGTTTTTTGTTTTGTTTTTGCAGCAGCAATGAGGGAAATCCACAGAACTCCGGAGAAAACCCGCGCATAACAGAACATAAACTCCATGAAAATAGATTCCCTTCTTGCTGTGAGGTGCAAAGCATTACCACAACAACCAGAGTAATGCCAAGTGTTGAATAATGCGGAACGGAACTGCGTGACCGTAGTGAGCGAACCTGCGAGCTCGGCGGATCTGTCCATGTAAATATAAATGTGTCGTTCATCCCGCCACACCTGTGTTATCACCTGTGTTGTTTTCAACTTGTGATCACCGTTGTTATCACCTGTGTTATCACCTGTGTTGTTACCAACAACATCACCTGTGTGGCGTTGTTATCAAACACCCTGCATCTCCTAAGGAATCATCCTCCTGAATTCCTCAATATCACCACTTCTATAGTCATCAAATCATCAAAGGTAATAAAAAAAACATCGCTGTTAATTATTTATTTTAAGTGATTGTTATTAAACATTTACAATTTCCCCCCCATGTTCACTCAAACCAGGAACCGTAACTCCATTTTTCCCCAGTGGAACAAGGTTTTCTGCATTCGCGAGGGTATTCATGAGTGTAACCCTCGCGGATAGAGATGGTTTAATGTACTGACATCATTAAAGAGGGCATGGTTGCAGCCGAGTCACTGAGTACCATTTAGCACATTTATCACAAAAAAAACAATATTAATTAATTATTATTCCCAGGGTAAGGCGCACTTGAGCTATGTAGCTCTTTTTTCAGAAGCGACCTGGCCACAAATGATAGCTCAACGAAAGTGGCTTGTCACGTGGAAATATACAGCAGCGCGTATCTAAATGTGGAGGTAAAAACCGGAGGACGTGGAGACCGGAGGATGCGACCACAGGGAGAGAGAGACCATGATCTCCAAATATACAGCAGGCGTCAGGAGCGAGATCTAACCCACGACCTCCTGCATACCAGGCGAGGGAGATAACATCTCCTAGCCACCGCGTCGGTGAGTGCTGCAATTCTCGTGACCCGCGATACACACCTCACGTGAATCTTGAGGTTGCTGGATGTGGCGAAGCGCAGCCCGCAGACGTCGCAGCCATACGGCTTCTCGTCCCCGTGGTGCATGCGGGTGTGAAACACCAATTGACACTTCTGTGCGAACGCCTTTCCGCACACTTCACACACGTAGGGCTTTTCACCTGCGCGCGCGCAACACACGAAGGCGTGGACCGTTTTTGCATGACAATTACGAAATGAAAGTCGCCTTGTTCAATGTGACAGCTGCTGTGTCGGTGGAGAGCATTTTTTTCATGCAAATGTGTACAATGGGCTCTGCTATCCCAGGTGACGTTTTGGGGATGTGAGAGAATATAGGAGGGGGGTCGACTTTTTTTTATTCAAAAAACGGAGCAGGAGTCCTGAAGACTTGATTTGAAGCTTTCGTGACTGCAGGAATTACTCTTTGGTTCTTTCGGTAAAGTCACGTAGAAATAAAATAAAATAAATAATAGAATACAACGTTTTGATTGCAACATAAGCAACCGTCATCAGGTGTGAATGCAAGCTCGGAGAGAGACGTATACAGAGAGAGAGAGACTAACACACAGAGAGAGACACATACACAGAGAGAGACACACAGAGAGAGAGGGTTGTGCAGGCTTTGTTGCCATCATCATGGACTCGGTAATTTTCTGACCGCAGCTCAAGTGAGTCAGTTGTGATAGGTATGCGGGTGCGGGCGATGTGCGTGTTTACAAATGGTGTAAGTGCCACATTTTCAGTGGTATGTGTATGCAAATGCTGTGTTAGAAGAGTTAGAAAGTGACGTGTATATGTGGAAGTTCTGTGTGCATGCGCGCGCGAGTGTGTACGTCGTGAGGAGCGGTAGTGCAGCTGTTAGCACGCTGCGCTATGAAACTGGCGACCCCGGTTCGATTCCCGCTCACGGCCAACACCAGTGAGGACTATCTGAACCGGTCCTGGGCCTCCCCTAAGTCGACTCAGCTCAAATGAGTGCCTTGTACGGTGTGTGTAGTGACCATCACCACTGGGGAGACAAAGGCGGCCGTGCGTGGTGCTGGCCACCCATCCCCTTCATGTGCCGTGCCGGCCTTGATAGGTGCTCGCTAACAGCACTTGCTCCTACAATCTGTTCAGGCTGTATGGGGGAATCTTTGTCGTTTTGTATGTCGTGTAAGCGAGTGGTGTGCGTAGACCATGTACTTGTACGACCCTTGTCATCTCACGGCCTCGTGGGTCAAGGAAGTTACAGGACCAATGGCGGAGCCAGGATTTTCAGGTGGGGGGGGGGACAACCCCTCCAGCAATGAAAAATGATAGAGGAGTTGTTAGTAAGTAAGGACTTGTCCCTTGCGTTTTATTCGACGCGTGTGTGGCGATGGCGCAGCCATCGATCGAGGGTCGAATTCGAACCGTGTGTGATCGGCATCGCGCTCGCTGAAGGTGAATGCCTTCAGGGAAGTCGTGTACTGTATACGCAACTGCGAACAATTCTTTGAGTAACTTATAACTGCTTTTCCGTTACTTATTGCCTATTATGGACTCAGACTATTGTCCTATCATCTCATAGAGTCCCTGGCACATAATAATATGCTATACAGTGGCAGTGGGGGTCGCAAAATGCCGATTGATTACTAATAAACCCCAATAATCCGATCGAAATTAGGGATTTCGATCGGACCATTGGGGGGGCATATGCCACCCCACTGGCTCCGCCAGTGTACGTGACCATACTTCACCACGCTGGTCAGTGCGGCTCGGTGAAGGTGGGGGACCGTAGACGTACAGTGCAACAATGGCTTTTGCCGCGACATTTTTTCGTAAAACTGCGGCACTGCAGGTGCCCCCAAACGCACTCAGTGCCCAAGCTAGGGAGAACAACACTGCAACGTCATAGGTATTAAACATTAACCATTCCCCCCCCACCCCACCCGTACCAGGAATGGAACCCCAGTTTTCGCGTTGAACAAGGTTTCTGCATTAGCGAATTCTGCATTTGCTGGCATTTTCAAGAATGTAAGCCCCCGTGGATAGAGGGGAGGGTTTACTATACGCAATTTAAAGAGGGCATGATTTCAGCCGAGTCCTTCATTAAAGTCTGCTCTAAAAACGCTAATTAGACATAACGCTGCCTCTGCAGACAGCTTCGCCCTCAAAATGTGAAAAGCTGCGCCGCTGCAGGTGCCCCCAAATGCACTCAGTGGCCAGACAAAAACTTTGGAGAACAACACAGCAATGTCAAGCGTCAACAGTGAAAGTAAAACCTTTCTTTTATGATATTCGACACCGACGAATGTATTGAGAGCCTGCCAAAAAAAACAACCAACGGTGGTGGTGGTGGTATAATAACGGCGGTTTCTTCCTCGTCCCAGATTTACGCGCCCTATTTTTTTTAAAGACTTTTGACACTACCATTCTCCGGCTCGAAAGGAACGGGGCGGAGTGGAGTAAAACGCTGCGCTGCCGGGGTGAACTGATTCAGTACACGCTATGCAACGGCGGAGAGAGAGGGGCTAGCTCGCACCTGCGTATGCAAAGGGGAGGGAGGGAGGGAGGGGGGGGGAGAGGCCAGCTCGCACCTGTGTGTATCCGCATGTGGGTCTTGAGCTGGTTGCCCTGCGTGAACGCCTTGTCACACAGCGAGCAAATGAACGGCCGCAGGCCCTTGTGGATGCGCGCGTGGCGCCGAAGGCTACTCGGCTCCGAGAACTCTTTCCCGCACGTTTGGCATACAGGCTTCCTCCTGGAAAGGCGCACGCTGGCCGGGTCGTTCCCACCGTCATCTCTTTCCAAGCCCGTAGGCGTCCACGTGTCCGGCCAGCCGCCCGGCGCGTGTGCGTGCCGGCCGGCCTCCTCGCTGGCCTCCTCACTGGCATCCTCGCTGGCCTCTTCGCTGGCCTCTTCGCTGGCCTCTTCGCTGGCCCCCGGGGGGATCTGCTCGGGTGCCTTGCCGTTGCTTGCGCAGCTGCTTCCGGTCATCTCGGAGGAGGCTTGTTCGGCGTCCGAAGGTTGGGTCGGAAAGCCGGCATCCCTGAAAAAGAAAAAAAAGAAAATTCGCATGTGGTTAAAAGATAAGTAGAAGTAGCCGCAATACATTTCTATGGCTTTGTTTTTTTCACACAGCTGCCGAACTCGTAGGCACAAGAATGTCAAGCGGTCTGGCAAAAAAACAGCGCTATCAAGGTTGGAAAAGATAACGAGTCAACAAGTTTCCTCAAGTGAGTGAGATTATAAGAGCTTGGGGAAAAGACACAATGGGAGGGAATTCCAAAGTGGAGTGGGGTGAGGCCCGAAGCAGAGAGAGAGGAGCGTCGTGACCTGTGGTGTAGTGCTTGAAGTGTGGATGTGATGAGAAACCATCTGGTAGACTGAGACGCTTGAAATTAAGGTATTGTTATAGCGACAGAAAACAAGTTCTATTCCGAAATATACATTTGTTCACTTGAAGAATGGGTCTCCATTCATTGTCGACGGTAGAGGAGAGGCGGTAATGTACGCCCGTGCGCGAGGTATTGCCGTAAAAAACGGAATTAATTTAAAGCGGTGTGTAATTTTTTTTTTTTTAACGGCACCCACATCCAGCTCTCCTTTTCACCGACGTGCCCCGTGGGGGCCCTTGCGGAGGCTGGGGTGCTGTTTGTGCAGCAGCGCCCGGCGGCCTCCCCCGCCGGTACGCTCCTCTCCACTGCCGCCACCGACACTGCCACCTTGGGAGCAGCCACGCGCCGGATTTTCCGGCGCGCTGCCTTTCTGTCGGAAGCCACGGCGGGGCCCCTTTTGCCACTGCTTTTTGCGCCGCGTGGCCTCTCGTAACGCCCTTCCGAACTCCCGTCCGATGACCGATCGGATACGCTCGAAACGTCCCGCTCCGCCTCGGCACCGTTCCCTGGCCACAACTCCGACGACGTCGTCTCCAAGCTCAGCGCCCGCCTCCTGCGGTTGGCGACGTTGGCCCGGCTGCGTCTGCGGAAGCTGGGTCGCTGGCCTGGAGACGACCAGCACAGATCGGTCTGCTTCACTGGTAAGCGTTGTTTACGCTGGTTTTTACGCGTCTCTCTCTGTCCCGACGCCGAACTGTTCCCGCCATCACTCAATGTCGTGTCTCCTGCTCCATCCACGCTTCTGCATTCTTCTTCTGATGTCTGCTTCGATTCCCTTTCATCTACTGCTGCCATGCTTTGAACATCACCCACATGACAAGTCAGAGGCGCGGGTGCTGAATCATTTACCATAGCACCTTTTACGACATCCGTTACGCTGCCGTTGCTGTTACGAATCCCATCGTGCTCAAACTCTTTGAAGTTGTTCTCCACCAGTCTCCCGGTTTCACCGGTGCTCTGCGCCGGGGTATCGGAGTGCTGCTCATCTTCCAGTTCATCCGAAGATAATGGTGGTGACGAGTGGCACGGCGACAGAGAGGATACCGGAGTGACGGCTTTAGAAGTGGCGTCTTCTGTCGATGCCGCAACGGGGCTCAGACCCTGCTCCACGTTTTGGCGAAGCAGAAGCTCCTCCAGCGCGTCCGAGCGCGGCCGGTTCGGCACGGCGAATCCGCGCCTTCGCGAAGACGACAACGCCGACGCCACCGGTACCCACGCACCATTGCTGGACGTAACCGTTGTCGCCGCCGCCTCCGGGTGGGAGGGGCTGGGTACATTCTGCTTGCACGTGGAAATCTGTCCGTCCACCCCTTGCGTGCGTAGGAGCGTCGTGAGAGCTTCCACCTGCATATGAAGCGCCGCGGACTTCAGCTCCTCGGCACTGCACCTACACAATGAGAAAGATGGGAAGACCGTTCACGTGATCTTTACGCATCCGGGGTTTCTTTTTCAACTGGAAAAAGAAATACAGCTGCTGGTTTACATCGATGCAAACCTTACATCAAATCGTACGTCAGATATCGTTCACCACCGATGTTAACCAGAGCCTGAGCTTTAACTCAGGTTGTCCTGTCGGATTTAGGATGCAGTGCACTAACCGCTGCACCACCGCTCCCCCCAAATCTGTTGGTGTCTCACTCTTGGTGCTATTAGGCTACAAGGTACCAATGTTCACCAGGGGCCGAATAATATCCCATGCGTATGCACGTAAAAGACGCTTAACAAAAGGTAAGATTGGAAAAAGTTTTGAACATAAAGACTACTTCAAAAGAAAACAATATGAAACATTACATCCTCAACAATAAAACTAAAAATCATAAAGGAAAAAATCGAGATAGTAACACTCAGCATTAAATAACAAGTGAGAAGGTAATTAAAAGCAAGATAAAGTATTAAAAAATAAGAATAGGTTTACCCTTTCTGGCAATATTACAGGTGTTAAGATGTTCAAGTAGAAACCTTTTTCAAGGAATCATGTCTACATTAACCACACGTACTCGTGGTGGACATGCAAACCAGAGAATGCTAGAGAACGCCAAAAAACGCCAAAAGGCGTTCTCTGGTTTGCCAAAAGGCGTTCCTCTGGTCTGACACTCGTAAGACTAGGCCCGAAAGAAGGATGTCTCTGATGTAGACAAATCAGTTTCAAAGACAATGCATATATTATCAGAGCATGTTTGTTTGCATGTTCACCACAAGTGTCATGTGTGGTTAATGCAGACTTGATTCCTTGCAAAATGTTTATATTTGGTGTTTGAACATCTTAACACAACTGTTTTATTGCCAGAAAGGGTAAAATCTATTCTTATGTTTTCAAATCTTAACACAACTGTTTTATTGCCAGAAAGGGTAAAATCTATTCTTATGTTTTCAAACTTTGATACTGGCTAAAAAGGCCCCATTTTTAAGATGGATGTATATTGACTTTAAAAAGTTTACGCGAGCCCTTCCCCTAAAAGAGCCCCCCCCCCCCCCAAGATGTGACATCCAACACACAGCCTTTTGCAACAACCACTCACATTTGTTACGATAAACCGAGCCAGAATTTACAACTGTGTAAGATCAACATGGCATAACTGCCGATGACGTTGTCGATGACGTTGTTGATAACAATGTTGACGCCACATCATCTAACCATAGCATAACTCTGCGACATTTTCAAGCCACGTGTCCCGAATTTGTTAAACTCTATATCCAAAACTAACAAGAGATGAGAATAGGTTTTCCCCTTTTATCTGGCAAAACGTGTCAAGTTGTTAAAACACCAAACTGAACACTTTTAAAATGCAAAAAAAATACTCTAAATATATGCATTGTCTTTTAAACTGATTGGTCCACACCAGAGACAGCTTTTTTTTTAGCCTCGTCTCAAACGGTGTTAGACCAGAGGACGCCAAAAGGCGTACAGCACAAAAACAAAGAGTAATGAGAGCTCGGGGTTAGAATCTACATCATGGGAGCTCCTTTGCCAGTTCCAAAATATGAGAATAGATTTTTCCCCTTTTATCTGGCAACAAAAAGATACAAACTAACAAGCTTAAAACAAAAATTCAACCGTCATTATTTTCTATAAACATATTTCCCAAAAACAACATTTAAGAGAGAAAAATAAACAGTCAAAAAAATGTAATACTCTTTGTGTCTGTCGGTAAAGTCACGAAGATAGAAAAATAATACAACGTTTCAATCGCAACACAAGCAATTGTCTTCAGGTGACTCCAGCGGCTCGGGTGCTGCTGCGGGATCCACTTTCTTCCCTGCTTCCTCCCCCCCCTGCTCTCCCCCCCTGCAGCCGACCTCTCCAGTGCTGTCGCGGTGGCCCACTTTACACCAGTGACCCGGGTGCTGCTGCGGGGTCCACTTTCTGCTCTGCCTCCTTCCCCCCCCCTTGTCTCTCCCCCCTACTGCCGAGGCCTACTATATAACCTCGTGCCACGGCAGATCTCTCGCCTACTTCAGCAGTTTTTTCTTGCTGTGGTTGTCCCACCTGATGACGATTGCTTGTGTTGCGATCGAAACGTCGTGATCTATTATTTTTCTACCTACGTGACTTTACCGAAAGAACCAAAGAGTATGGATTCCTGCAGTCACGAAAGCTTCAAATCAAGATTGAAAAAAATACAGCAGGCGAACTGCTGAGGCAGGAGAAATATAGCGAGAGAGTTGTTGCAACAAGAGGCTATATAAATTTGAGATGGGTGCAACCCAAGGGTAAGTGGTTGGGGCTAGAGATGGAATTTGCATGTAAATGTAAGATCGGAGAGACTGATATACCTCACGACTACGGTGCTGAAGAGGCGGCCATTGTATTGCTAGAGATTAGAGATTAGCATTTCAATGTGAGACGGCTTCCGCAGCAGCGGCTGTTAATGAGAAGATTGGCATGTCAGTGTCAGAGCACAACGCCACCTCGTGGGCAACAAAAGCTGCGGCGTTGGCCGCTGCACTGTAAGAGACCAGCATGTCAACGCAAGAGAACCACCGCAACGGTAGCCATGCCAGTGAGACATTCAGCTAATTAAACGAGAGCCACCGCCACATGGAGGAAAAAGGAGCAGCGGCTATGTTAGTGAGACATTTAGCCTGTTAATGTAAAGACATTTAACAAGGCAATGTAACTCAGAGTCGGAAATAACAGCTGACATAGGCAGGTAGGATGGAAGCATCACTGCCAGTTATGACTTTACCTGGTTAATAACGTCCTTCCAATGATTGCTAAGTTTGACCCATCTTCTCGGTTTAAATTGTATCAGTGTTTATATATCTGGATGGCTTCATGAACAAAACTTTCTTGATAGCCAGTGGGTTTTCAGAGTACTTTCGTCTTGGAGAAATCACCGTAGTCGTGAGGTATATCAGGCTCTCCGATCTTACATTTACATGCAAATTACCGATTGGCATGCAAATCTCTAGCAATACAATGACCGCCTCTTCAACACCGTAGTCGTGAAGTATATCAGGCTCTCCGATCTTACATTTACATTCAAATTACAGTTTGGTTCTTTCAGTAAAGTCATGTAGAAAAAAATCAATTTAATAATAATAGAATACGACATTTTGATTGCAACACAAGCAACCATCATCATGAGAAAACAAATATAGTAAACTTAGATGTATAATGCAATACAACAGAGAGTCGGCTAACACAACAGTCAACACCCTCCCTGGTTGATTACGTTCTTCCAAATATTGCTAAATTTGAGAGAGACAAAACACAGACACGGAGACACATAGACAGACACAAGCAGAAAGAGACACACGCATAGACAAACAGAAAGAGAAACCCTCTGTGAGAGAGAGTGGGGGGGGGCAGAGAGAGGGGGGGGGGGATTGGGGTAGAGAACAATGAGAGTTGTGTGGAAACGTTATGATTTTTTTTTCTATCTACGTGACTTGACCGAAAGACCCAAAGAGTATGAATTCCTGCAGTCACGAAAGCTTTAAGTAAAAAAAAGTAATCTTTAAAAATTCAGATGTGTCACACACTGGTTCCGCGGTGCAAAGCGGAGGGAGTGGCGACCCTGCGTTGCATCCACGTTCACTCCACGGTGGGAAACAATGACAACGGCCGCACCTGCCGGAGACATAAAAACGATCCTGATGCCTGCTAGAAAATTGGAGTGATGAGATATAAGCTTACGTGCTGGATTGAGATAGGTTCTCACCACCCATGCCATGGTAACGGTAGCTAGAAGATGTTAACTACCTCGCCTGGCATACAGGAGGTCGTGGGTTCCATCCCGACCCCGAAGCCTGTTTATTTGGAGTTTGCATGTTTCTCCCTCCCCGTGGTTGCGTGAATTTTTCTCCGGGTCCTTGGTTATTCCCTCCATATTTAGAATCAACATGGCTGCTGTAAATTTCCACATGATAAGCCACTTTCGTTGAGCTATCATTTGTGTGTGGCTGGGTCGCTTCTGAAAAAATACCTTTATAGCTCAGTGGCCCTTAAAACATAGTTTATACTTACATAGTTTATCGATAATTGAGAGCTAATTGACCTCGACAGCGTGGATTTTTTTCCGTTGCACTGAGTGCCATGCAACACTTGTTCACATGGGAGAAATGTCATACCCATCGGTTGTGATGTCACGAGTTTGACCTCGTGTTCCCCCACCTGAAACACTGCAATAATGGCTAAACGGAGTCACCCAATATCACGAAGTAAATGCTAGTATTGAACTCTGGCCCTAAATATTTTTTTCTCGGTCAGGTAATTAAAAAAAAGTTCAAATCTACTCATCATAATGGTACAAAGCGTGCAGAAATGCATACATGCAATTAGCCATACTGAGCTGCGCATGATTGAATGTTTACATTCACAAATATCCCCGCCATTCGAAGTGTTCTCGACTAAAATCCTAGACTGTTGGATCAGAAAAAAAAAACCATAAATCAGGAAGATGTCCACATAAGACATATACAGATAGATGTTCAGCAAGAAAAAACACGCCCAATTTCACACGCACCTACACAAAGAATCCGCTTGTACAAATACCCACAGCAATGTATATATTGCCACTCACAAATTTCACCGCCATGTAGCCAGCACATTTTAATTACAGCATGTGGTATCTTCGATTATATTTACGATTATTTGCAAACTAAGCAATGAATTAATATCGTAATATGGGTGTGGTTTTGTAATACTTTCAACACTGATTTTCGATTGTATTTATGAATAATTCATAGAGCCTGTTTTTGCCAGGCAAAAGTTTTCAATAAATATAATAATGAAGCTGATGTGATTTTTTTTACAATTTGTATTTACGATGAGAAACGAACAACTCCAAAAATGTGTATTTTTCAGATTTTTTTTGTTGACTACTTGATTCAACTTCTATTCGAAGATGTACCCATCGGAAACCGCTCAATGTAAAGATTCAGTTTTTTATTAGAACGAACATTTAATTGACGTAATGCTATATGAGGGGTAGCTCCTATCTTCTACCTTTTTCTAATTATTCAGATTTGAACATCATGAAATTCATATTTATTCAATCAAAACCACTTGAATACAAAATATCTCAAAAACAATAAAAGATAGAACCCAATGGTTCTTGCGTTAACTTTATTTGCTGTTTAACCCTCTATCAAAGGAAAAAAACCCCGCAATGTTATATTTTGAACGGTTTCTGAATGACACGCACAAGCATGTTTATGGGACACTTAAAATCGAGATTTGGGGGGCTAAAAACGAAAAATCTCAGATTTTCAGATTTCTCCTGTTGTTTGTGTACTAAAAGCTACCTATATACCATATTTCAGCTTTCTACCTTGTCGGGAAGTCCCGAAGATGTTTTTGGGACATACAGATTAAGGTCTTTAGAAAGAAGATTATATGCAACCTAAACAATGAATATCATATATATGTGTGCGTATGTGGTTTTGTAACACTTTCCAACACTCTGTGGTGTTTATTTCGCAATAATGGTGATGCTTGTGCCATGCATGCTGGAAGCAGTAGATCATCCTCCAAGCCATGATGAGACAACAGCATCTCTAATGGAGAGGGCACAGGCACCCATGTGATCAATTTGGCCGGTTTCTCCAGGATAAATGCTCAAGAGCAACACAAATTTACTATTGGACATCTGTAACCAAAAAAAAGCTTTATAACTCATCAGATTCCTCCAGTATAAATAAATATTCTGATTCCAATTACATCTTAACTTGTTTTACAAGTTATATTGCAAACCCCCATTACAGACCGAGCTAATTCGTTGAAAGCATTCAAAGGATGTTATCTATACATAGCATAAACAATACAGAGCGATGGTGAGTAGTTATGAAATAATCACATCCCTTACCCATTCAGCCTAACTTGTCCAGAATAGATGAAATCCAAGACGGCAGCGATGGCGCAGGGGCTTATGATGTTGTTGTTCAGAGTGACCAAAGCGATGCCAGAGCCACTCTGTGATCCCGTCTTTGTTGCCATCGCTCTTCTCTGACCGCTCATCCCAGCGGTGTCCTCCATTCCGTTGGCCGCACCATTATCGAAGCGCGAATCTCCTGTCGACGTGGCGCTTTCTTGAGCCATAATAACACGGCAGTTTCCGTGCGTGTACGCATCTGCTGTGTTGTTTCCTGAAGGAAAAGTGTCCTCCTTGGGCGTCTGTCCTCCCCCGTTGGGCGGCGAGTGCAGCTCAAGGATCCGCGATGGGACGCTGTCAGAAACACCGCAGCACAGCGCCGCCAGATGGGGACTGAAGGCAGCGAGAACGGCGCGGTGTGCTGGGAATGTGGCTCCCCCGGAAATTTCAAACATGCAGTCACAAAAATCTCCACGGGCACGCTGCGCGCGGAGCTGCGCTAACAGTGACATCGCGTGTTCCTCCATCTCAGCCTGTGAGGGTGACACAGAAAAGCAAGAGTGGTCAATTATCATTACAATACAGCATTCACTGTCAGCAAAAATGACAGTTACCTTGTGATTGTAATTCATTACAAAAAATACATAATTACAATTGAAATTGAACCCAGGTGTGCAGAAGATATATTCCACTGTCAGATAACTTTCATCCGAAATATTAAGATGCATATTCGAAAAGTTTTGCTGGCTGGCTACATGGTTGATGTCAGCGCCCACATCTGCGTGATGTCACCCACATCCCACAGCGTTCGGCCAAAGCTCTACTCTGGACGTGTATCCCGTGCAAATGAGTGGGCCGTGCTAGTTTTGTAGCAAAAAATATATATACAGTATAAGGATACGAAATATTTGCTGCTTAACATCTGGGAATAATCGTGGATCAAAAATCCAGAGCGGCTCAAGTGTTTACGATTAGGTTTAGGTTGAAAGCATTTCTTTCTCTTAAATATTATAACGTCCATATGCAACCAGGGACAAATTATATTATCGTGAGCTGCAGAATACGTCGAAGTAACTATTCCTTGTCGTATGTTTATAAAATGATTTAGGTGGTGGAAGGGTTTAAAAATGTACTGATATGTATGTTCACATAGGGGTCTACGACGCATCGTTAATAATTCTGTGCATTTCTAACGTCTATAATCTGGGTTAGCTACAGTATGCTCGGATTACACACGGATGTTTATGTGCATTATATATATGGTTTACCTTTTGTCATAACTCTGTCATCTGGTTAATATGGAAAATCTTTACTTACAAGTTCACGCATACTTTGCCAATTGCCTTTATAGTCTGTTTTTACTCTAAAGGGTGAACTGAACCGTACATGTACACGTTCATAGGAACAAAGCAAACAATGAGTAACATTTTCCGAACCATACGCTTAAATTACACTAAATCTGGGAAGATTTAAAAGAGTGCATTTGTAGTGCGCAGTTGGGCTTTAATTGTTAAAATGTGGTTTTGTTTACGAGGTTTAGGTTTTGATTTCGGAGTCGTGAGTTACTAGGGTTGGATAGGGGTTGTGGTCGAGGGTTTTGTGGTTTGGGGTCATTTAGGTGCACTGGTAGCATTCTGGTACAGATCATGTAAATGGCCGCATGTCATAGTTGTCAACCCATATGGTTTACCCCGTATTGTACAGGGAAATAGAGTGTTCAGGTCCATACAGCGTACAGCCGTTTCAAGAGCGCAACAACAAAAAATATATACGGCCAAATAAAAACAAAAGCTGTTTAACCCTTCGTAATTTTCTGTGTTTATTGCTGTACATTTACAACGTGTGTGCATCCACATATCAAGCAAGCAGCAACATAAGTAGTATTGACACCAATTATCAAAATTAATACATAAAACAGTTTTTGTTTAGTAACCCAAAATATGCTTATTTGTTTGTGTTCTCCCTTGTGATGGGACTTTGTAGGGTGAACGTTGAGATTTACAAGGGCACGGGGTGACCAATAAGATCTGAATTGATGTCATTAGGTAGGACACTGATAAGGGGTTGGCAGGTATGGCATGTGCAGGGAGCACACACACAAATGAACACACTGTAATCAGTTTTAAAGTAACACACGACTTAATTATATCACAATTCACGAGCAGTTTGTTTCTCGGTAGCGGGGGTGTTGATAGGGGTTTGAGGGGAGACATTGCTGCGATGGGTTGTATTTAAGATCCCGAGTGTCGCGTGACTGTGATCAGCGAGGGGGAAGGGTGTTAGGATCAAGCGCGCTACATGTCGTGTGTTGTTTTGATGCGTGACAATACGTGTAAGAGATGCAAACGGGAGTGGCGTTGACTTCGCTACATTAGGGGACAGCGTACGAATTCGGGGGTAGCGCAAGACTGCGGGGAGAGTAGCCTCGATCACTTTGTTTTATATACTCATACATATTCCTCATGCATGTTCTATGGGTTATCCAGATTGTTTCGGACGTGAAAGGGCACGAATTCCGTACACGCGCTTAACCGGTTTATTGCAGTTTAAAGCACGAGGCCCGGCTCTCGACCGAGGCGTGCCCCTCGCCTGAATCATCCCGCCGCCTCTGGCCCGCTTCTTCGGGCTGTGCGCGCCATGCGAGGGGCCAGGCTCGTGCCACGGCACAGGCCTCGGCCCGGAGTCACAACAACAACCACCACCACCGACACTGCGCCTAATCGCGAGCTTCCCGCCGCCACCCACCGCGTTCCATACGATTCTTGTACCGTGTGGGTAAAATGTTCTCCGCGGAGATGAGATCGCCCGTTCGGCACGGGCACCGAGGGATTGCAGCCGCCTCGGTGTTTATCCGAGGCAGACTCCGGCAGGCACTCAGCACCTCGCGCGGTGGACGCCTCAGGGGGGGGGGGGGTCCTTGCTGTGAGATTGCTGAATCGATTTGAATTTCAGGTTGAGGGAATCGAATCGGATCCCGCCCAGTGGTGACCTCACGATCGATTCTCTTGCTCGTCCACTGCTGTTGTTCGTGGTAATCGATCGTGATTTCTATCGGCATTGGAATCGTTATTTAGATGAATCCGATGAGCTATTAAGCTCTTTGTATTTTTTTACTGACGTCCAGTAAGGGTCAGCAAGCTACAAATACAACGCAAAACACTGACGGGAGTGCAAAGGTATAGAGAAGCTAAGCAAATAACTAAAATGGACGAGTAAGTAATGATAAAAAATTCTGTATATAAATGCAACTTGCGCTTCAAATTAAGTACATTCCTGCGGATTTTTAAACACCAACTGCAAGCTTAGCACAAAGCAGCGGAGGCTGCACTGTGTTCAAGAGCTATGGATGTCGAAGTGGAGGTCTGGTGGACACGAGAGGGCTTCAGGAGTGGAGAGTTCGTGCCGTGTTTGCTATCCCTCCTACATAGGAGAATAGCTTAGCGGTTTTACTGTAAAGGGTGCCACAGGTGGTCTTGTGACACCCAATTAATTGACACCCCGAACATTGTCTTTCCTTTGAATGTCTGGGTCTGTTTTAATGAAAGCTTACAGACAAATATATTAAGTTTTTGAGAATTAAATGTGGGGGTCACAACATATCCGCACCACCCTGTGCAAGAAAATCACCACAACCACAACACCCACCACAACCACAACATCCACCACAACCACAACACCCACCACAACCACAAAACCCACCACCACAACACCCACCACAACCATCAAGAAAATCACCATCAACACCCACCACAACCACAACACTAACCACCACCACAACACCCACCACCACAAGACCCACCACAACCACAACACCCACCACAACCATCACGAAGAAAATCACCACAACCACAACACCCACCAAAACCACAACACCCACCACACCCACAACGCCCACCACAACCACAACATCCACCACAACCATCAACAAGAAAATCACCACCATCACAACACCCACCAAAACCACAACACCCACCACAACCATCACCAAGAAAATCACCACAATCACAACATCCACCAAAACCACAACACCCACCACACCCACAATGCCCACCACAACCACAACCACCACCACAACCATCAACAATAAAATCACCACCATCACAACACCCACCAAAACCACAACACCCACCACAACCATCACCAAGAAAATCATCACCATCACAATACCCACCAAAACCACAACACCCACCAAAACCATCAAGAAAATCACCACAATCACAACACCCACCACAACACCCACCACAACCATCACCAAGAAATTCACCACTATCACAACACCCACCAAAACCACAACACCCACCACAACCATCACGAAGAAAATCACCACAACCACAACACCCACCAAAACCACAACACCCACCACACCCACAACGCCCACCACAACCACAACACCCACCACAACCATCACCAAGAAAATCACAACCATCACAACATCCACCAAAATCACCACCAATAAAATTACCACCATCACAACACCCACCAAAACCATAACATCCACCACAACCATCACCAAGAAAATCACCACAACCACAGCACCCACCACAAGCACAACACCCACCACCACCAAGACAAAGATCCCCCGTATGGTCTAAACAGACTGTTGGGGCAATTTCTTTTCGCGAGCACCTATGAACGCCGGCACTACGCTCGGCAGCCTTTGTCTTACCAGTAGCGATGTTTACACACAGCAGCAGGTACTCATTTTAGGCTGAGTCGACCTAGGAGTGGCCCAGGACCGGTTCAGGATAATCGTCACCGGTGTTGGCCGTGAGTGGGAATCTAACTCGGCACGCCACGACTCTCACAACCACCACCACGATTCTTACAACCACCATCACTACAACACTCACAACCACCACCACCACGACTCTCACAACCACCACCACGACTCTCACAACCACCACTACCACCACGACTCTCACAACCACCACCACCACGACTCTCACAACCACCACCACCACGACTCTCACAACCACCACCACCACGACTCTCACAACCACCACCACCACCACCACGACTCTCACAACCACCACCACCACGACTCTCACAACCACCACCACCACCACGACTCTCACAACCACCACCACCACCACTCTCACAACCACCACCACTCTCACAACCACCACCACCACTCTCAGAACCACCACTACTACAACACTCCCAACCACCACCACCACCACGACTCTCACAACCACCACCACCACCACCACTCTCACAACCACCACCACTCTCACAACCACCACCACCACTCTCAGAACCACCACTACTACAACACTCCCAACCACCACCACCACCACCACGACTCTCACAACCACCACCACGACTCTCACATCCACCACCACCACCACAACACTCCCAACCACCACCACCACCACGACTCTCACAACCACCACCACCACTACAACACTCCCAACCACCACCACCACGACTCTCACAACCACCACCACCACAACACTCCCAACCACCACCACCACCACTCTCACAACCACCACCACCACGACTCTCACAACAACCACCAACACCACCACGACTCTCACAACCACTACCACCACCACGACTCTCACAACCACCACCACGACTCTCACAACCACCACCACCACTCTCACAACCACCACCACCACCACGACTCTCACAACCACCACTAACACCACCACGACTCTCACAACCACCACCACTACGACTCTCACAACCACCACCACCACCACCACCACGACTCTCACAACCACCACCAACACCACCACGACTCTCACAACCACCACCACTACGACTCTCACAACCACCACCACCACCACTACAATCCTCCTCCACCACCACCGCCAATCGCGTCTCACGCTCCCGGCTTCCGCGGCGTCGCCAGGCAACGCGAGTCAACACGGGGATGAGACCCAGGCAACGCCGAGTCGCACGCAACATCGAGTCGGACGCAACGAGTCGCACGCAAAAACGAGTTCCACGCAACGAGTCTCACACAACCAGTCCCACGCAACAACGAGTCTCAAGCACGGGCAGCGAGTTCCACGCAACAACGAGTCGCACACAACGAGTCGCGTGCAACAACGAGTCTCACGCGGAGCATGGAGAAGGTGAGTCTCTCGCTGACAGCTGAAGAAGCTCTTCTCTCGTAACGGCTCCGATCAGAGTTGCATGTTTTCACGATACGACATTAAATGTCGCACCGTATGTAGCCAACCGCGCAAATCGGAGATGCGGGGGAAGTACAACAAACGATGTGTCTCTGTGTGAGTCTATTAGTCTCTGTGTGAGTCTATTAGTCTCTGTGTGAGTCTATTAGCCTCTGTGTGAGTCTATTAGTCTCTGTGTGAGTCTATTAGTCCTGTGTGAGTCTATTAGTCTCTGTGTGAGTCTATTAGTCTCTGTGTGAGTCTATTAGTATCTGTGTGAGTCTATTAGTCTCTGTGTGAGTCTATGTGTCTCTGTGTGGGTCTATTAGTCTCTGTGTGAGTCTATTAGTCTCTGTGTGAGTCTATTAGTCTCTGTGTGAGTCTATTAGCCTATGTGTGAGTCTATTAGTCTCTGTGTGAGTCTATTAGTCTCTGTGTGAGTCTATTAGCCTCTGTGTGAGTCTATTAGTCTCTGTGTGAGTCTATTAGTCTCTGTGAGTCTATTAGTCTCTGTGTGAGTCTATTAGTCTCTGTGTGAGTCTATTAGTCTCTGTGTGAGTCTATTAGTCTCTGTGTGAGTCTATTAGTCTCTGTGTGAGTCTATGTGTCTCTGTGTGGGTCTATTAGTCTCTGTGAGTCTATTAGTCTCTGTGTGAGTCTATTAGTCTCTGTGTGAGTCTATTAGTCTCTGTGTGCGTCTATTAGTCTCTGTGTGAGTCTATTAGTCTCTGTGTGAGTCTATTAGTCTCTGTGTGAGTCTATTAGTCTCTGTGTGAGTCTATTAGGCTCTGTGTGAGTCTATTAGTATATGTGTGAGTCTATTAGTCTCTGTGTGAGTCTATGTGTCTCTGTGTGAGTCTATTAGTCTCTGTGTGAGTCTATTAGTCTCTGTGTGTCTATTAGTCACTGTGTGAGTCTATTAGTCTCTGTGAGTCTATTAGTCTCTGTGTGAGTCTATTAGTCTCTGTGTGAGTCTATTAGTCTCTGTGTGAGTCTATGTGTCTCTGTGTGAGTCTATTAGTCTCTGTGTGAGTGGATTAGGCTCTGTGTGAGTCTATGTGTCTCTGTGTGAGTCTATTAGTCTCTGTGTGAGTCTATTAGTCTCTGTGTGAGTCTATTAGTCTCTGTGTGGGTCTATTTGTCTCTGTGTGAGTCTATGGGTCTCTGTGTGAGTCTATTAGTCTATGTGTGAGTCTATTAGTCTCTGTGTGAGTCTATGGGTCTCTGTGTGAGTCTATTAGTCTCTGTGTGAGTCTATTAGTCTCTGTGTGAGTCTATTAGTCTCTGTGTGAGTCTATGTGTCTCTGTGTGAGTCTATTAGTCTCTGTGAGTCTATTAGTCTTTGTGTGAGTCTATTAGTCTCTGTGTGAGTCTATTAGTCTCTGTGTGAGTCTATTAGTCTCTGTGTGCGTCTATTAGTCTCTGTGAGTCTATTAGTCTCTGTGTGAGTCTATTAGTCTCTGTGAGTCTATTAGTCTCTGTGTGAGTCTATTAGTCTCTGTGTGAGTCTATGTGTCTCTGTGTGGGTCTATTAGTCTCTGTGAGTCTATTAGTCTCTGTGTGAGTCTATTAGTCTCTGTGTGAGTCTATTAGTCTCTGTGTGAGTCTATTAGTCTCTGTGAGTCTATGGGTCTCTGTGTGAGTCTATTAGTCTCTGTGTGAGTCTATGGGTCTCTGTGTGAGTCTATTAGTCTCTGTGTGAGTCTATTAGTCTCTGTGAGTATATGGGTTTCTGTGTGAGTCTATTAGTCTCTGTGTGAGTCTATGGGTCTCTGTGTGAGTCTATTAGTCTCTGTGTGAGTCTATTAGTCTCTGTGAGTCTATTAGTCTCTGTGTGAGTCTATTAGTCTCTGTGAGTCTATGGGTCTCTGTGTGAGTCTATTAGTCTCTGTGTGAGTCTATGGGTCTCTGTGTGAGTCTATTAGTCTCTGTGTGAGTCTATTAGTCTCTGTGTGAGTCTATTAGTCTCTGTGTGAGTCTATTAGTCTCTGTGTGAGTCTATTAGTCTCTGTGTGAGTCTATGGGTCTCTGTGTGAGTCTATTAGTCTCTGTGTGAGTCTATTAGTCTCTGTGTGAGTCTATTAGTCTCTGTGTGGGTCTATTCGTCTCTGTGTGAGTCTATGTGTCTCTGTGTGAGTCTATGAGTCTCTATGTGAGTCTATGTGTCTCTGTGTGGGTCTATTAGTCTCTGTGAGTCTATTAGTCTCTGTGAGTCTATTAGTCTCTGTGTGAGTCTATGTGTCTCTGTGTGTCTATTAGTCTCTGTGTGAGTCTACTAGTCTCTGTGTGGGTCTATTAGTCTCTGTGTGAGTCTATTAGTCTCTGTGTGGGTCTATTAGTCTCTGTGTGGGTCTATTAGTCTCTGTGTGAGTCTATTAGTCTCTGTGTGAGTCTATTAGTCTCTGTGTGAGTCTATTAGTCTCTGTGTGAGTCTATTAGTCTCTGTGAGTCTATTAGTCTCTGTGTGAGTCTATTAGTCTCTGTGTAAGTCTATGTGTCTCTGTGTGGGTCTATTCGTCTCTGTGTGAGTCTATGTGTCTCTGTGTGAGTCTATGTGTCTCTGTGTGGGTCTATTCGTCTCTGTGTGAGTCTATGTGTCTCTATGTGAGTCTATTAGTCTCTGTGTGAGTCTATGAGTCTATGTGAGTCTATTAGTCTCTGTGTGAGTCTATGTGTCTCTGTGTGGGTCTATTCGTCTTTGTGTGAGTCTATGGGCCTCTGTGTGAGTCTATGAGTCTCTATGTGAGTCTATTAGTCTCTGTGTGAGTCTATGCGTCTCTGTGAGTCTATTAGTCTCTGTGTGAGTGTATGTGTCTCTGTGTGGGTCTATTCGTCTCTGTGTGAGTCTATGTGTCTCTGTGTGAGTCTATGAGTCTCTGTGAGTCTATTAGTCTCTGTGTGAGTCTATGTGTTTCTGCGTGAGTCTATGAGTCTCTGTGAGTCTATTAGTCTCTGTGTGAGTCTATGTGTCTCTGTGTGGGTCTATTCGTCTCTGTGTGAGTCTATGGGTCTCTATGTGAGTCTATGAGTCTTTGTGTGAGTCTATTAGTCTCTGTGTGAGTCTATGATTCTCTGTGAGTCTATTAGTCTCTGTGTGAGTCTATTAGTCTCTGTGTGAGCCTATGGGTTAGCCTATGAGTCTCTGTGTGAGTCTATTAGTCTCTGTGAGTCTATGAGTCTCTGTGTGTCTATTAGTCTCTGTGTGAGTCTATTAGTCTCTATGTGAGCCTATGGGTCAGTCTATGCGTTTCTGTGTGAGTCTATTATTCTCTGTGAGTCTATGCGTCTCTGTGTGAGTCTATTAGTCTCTGTGTGAGTCTATGTGTGGGTCTATTAGTCTTTGTGTGAGTCTATGGGTCTCTGTGTGAGTCTATGTGTCTCTGTGTGGGTCTATTAGTCTCTGTGTGAGTCTATTAGTCTCAGTGTGGGTCTATGGGTCTCTGTGTGAGTTTATGGGTCAGTCTATGAGTCTCTGTGTGAGTCTATTAGTCTCTGTGAGTCTATGGGTCTCTGTGTGAGTCTATTAGTCTCTGTGTGAGTCTATGATTCTCTGTGAGTCTATTAGTCTCTGTGTGAGTCTATTAGTCTCTGTGTGAGCCTATGGGTCTCTGTGTGAGTCTATGTGTCTCTGTGTGGGTCTATTAGGCTCTGTGTGAGTCTATGTGTGGGTCTATTAGTCTTTGTGTGAGTCTATGGGTCTCTGTGTGAGTCTATGTGTCTCTGTGTGGGTCTATTAGTCTCTGTGTGAGTCTATGTGTCTCTGTGTGAGTCTATTAGTGTCTGTGTGAGTCTATTAGTCTTAGTGTGGGTCTATGGGTCTCTGTGTGAGTCTATTAGTCTCTGTGTGAGTCTATGGGTCTCTGTGTGAGTCTATGAGTCTCTGTGAGTCTATTAGACTCTGTGTGAGTCTATGTGTCTCTGTGTGAGTCTATTAGTCTCTGTGTGATTCTATTAGTCTCTGTGTGGGTCTATGGGTCTCTGTGTGCGTCTATGGGTCTCTGTGTGAGTCTATTACTCTCTGTGTGAGTCTATGGGTCAGTCTATCGGTCTCTGTGTAAGTCTATGGGTCTCTGTGTGAGTCTATGGGTCTCTGTGTGAGGCTATGAGTCTATATGTGAGTCTATTAGCCTCTGTGAGTCTATGGGTCTCTGTGTGAGTCTATTAGTCTCTGTGTGAGTCTATGTGTCTCTGTGTGGGTCTATTAGTCTCTGTGTGAGTCTATGGGTCTCTGTGTGAGTATATGTGTCTGTGTGAGTCTATGGGTCTCTGTGTGAGTCTTCGTGTCTCTATGGATCTCTGCTGTGTGAGTCTGTGGTTCTCTGAGTCTATGGGTCTCTGTGTGAGTAGTCTATGGGCCTGTGTGAGTTTAGAGTATTTGGCTGCTATACATTTGCACATAAGCCACTTCGTTGAGCTATGATTTGTGATTGCCAGGTCGCTTCTGAAAAAAAGAGCTATATAGCTCAGTGGACCTTACCTGGTAACATTGTTTAGTTCGGTAATAGCTGTACTTGATTTCTGGGTGAGACCACTTAGTGATCGTACCAATTTGTGTCGTTATGACCCTCCACTACTCGACACTGTCAAACACATTGTCACGTACGCAAGCGTTACGCGCGTAAAATTGTTATTGTTTCAGCTCAGCGGTAAGTTGAGGAACATTAAAGTAATTCGAGTGCGGCATTTCGTTGGAAACCGCATCAAACATCATCGGTCAGAATAACAATCCGGGAAGTGAGAACGCCTGCTCGTTGGCATCGCTGTATAACGAGTTGTGTGGACTATGAGTGTGCTCGCCAACAGCACTTGCCCCAACAGGCTATTAAGTTTACACGGGGGATCTTTGTTTTTGTGTGTCTGTGGAGCGGTTGTGGGGAGCGGTGGTGCAGCGGTTACAAACCTGCCAATCCGAGTTCGTTTCCCGCTCACGGCCAACACCGGTGACGATTATCTGAACCGGTCCTGGGCCTTCCAGAGGTCGATTCAGCCTCAAATGAGTACCTGTTGCGGCGTGTAAACATCGTCACTGGGGAGACAAAGGCGGTCGGGCGTGGTGCTGGCCACCCACCCCATCATGTGCCGTGCCGGCCTTCATAGGTGCTCGCTAACAGCACTTTCCCCAAAAGTCTGTTAAGCCTACACGGGGGATTTTTGTCTTGTGTGTGCAGAGGCCAGCGTGGAAAGATGTGGAGTCTGCAAAGGTGCAGCACGCCAACTCGGACCTGCTCGTGACTCACGTGAACCACACGCACGACCTCCTGGTGCGCTCATCATCTGCACCACAAAGTCACCGACACGTTCCCAGCAGATACCGTACATTGCAACAGATTGCATAGACTGCAACAGATTGCATACATTGCAACATATTGCATGCATTGTAATAGATTGCTTAGATTGCATACATTGCAACAGATTGCTTGTATTGCAACAACAATTGCATATATTGCAACATATTGCATACATTGCAACAAATTTCATATATTGAAACAGATTGCATATATTGGAACAGATTGCTTACATCGCAACAGATTAGATATACTGAATTGCCATGCATTGCCTTACATTGCGACAGATTGCATACATTGCAGAATTGCAGAGCAGACCGATAGCTGCTTTAGTGTTTGCTCCACCGTGTGTGTACCCAGGGCAGCTATTGAAGGCAGTCCGGGATATACATTTATGAAATGAAAGAGGTGGACAGAGAGTGGGTTTGAGTGATTTTGAAAAACTTAAGTGGATAACGAAACGCAACGTACTGGACCAGGATAATATTTTTTTGTGTATCAGTGTACGTCAGCTGTTGCGACATGTCGATTAGAAACAGACATTTACAAAGACAAATGGAACAAACACTCAAAGGTGAATAAAGGAGCCGTGGAGAGATGCATGCTTGGAATTATACTGAGAGGCAGATGTAACGTATGGGTTATAGGCCAGAGAAAAATACGTACCGTACCTAAGGTAGCAAACCTCAGAAGTATTTATATGGCCAATAAGAATGCATTTTTTGACAACTCACTCATTTGAAATGCTTATCGCATAATTTACTGTTATATTGACCACGTACAGATATTGGAACTATTAAATCGATGCCACACCATAGGTGATATTAACAATGGAAACATCCGGTCTGGGGCGAATGGACTGTGACATAATGCACCCAGGTTAAATAATATTTTTTCTGTACTGTTCACAATGTAGCCCCCCCCCCCCACGCCAATGACCGGCAGGGAAGCTGCATCTGGTGACTGGGGCCCGAGGAGAGGGCTGCAGTCGGGCACCATGGTGGCTAGGAGATGTTAACTCCCTCTTTTGGTATGCAGGAGGTCGTGGGTTCGATCCCGACCCTGATGCCTGTTGTACATTTGGAGTTTTAGTGTCTCTTTCTCTCATCATCATCACGGTGGCTAGGAGATGGTAACTCCCTCGCCTGGTATGCAGGAGGTCGTGGGTTCGATCCCGACCCTGACGCCTTCTGCACTTTTGGAGTTTTCGTGTCTCTCTCTCCTGCCGTGGTTGTGTGGATTTTTCTCCAGGTCCCTCCGGTTTTTCTCGCCACATTTAGAATCAGCGTTACACGTCTAAGAGTATTTGACTGCTATAAATTTCCACGTGATAAGACATTTCGTTTAGCTGTCATTTGTGATAGCCAGGTCGATTCTGAAAGACAACTGTATAGCTCAGTGGGCTTTACCAGGTAAAATATAAAAAATAGTATTTTTTATGCGTATAGTTTGGAACGGGAGGTCACGGATTGGGCTCTGCGCATTGGGCCTCCGAAACCGCTGTCGGGCAGTACACCGATGGGGTCTCTAGATGTCACTACAGAGCTGCTGCTGTCTCTTCTCTAGATGTCACTACAGAGCTGCCGCTGTCTCTTCTGTAGATGTCACTACAGAGCTGCTGCTGTCTCTTCTGTAGATGTCACTACAGAGCTGCTGCTGTCTCTTCTGTAGATGTCACTACAGAGCTGCTGCTGTCTCTTCTGTAGATGTCACTACAGAGTTGCCGCTGTCTCTTTTCTAGATGTCACTACAGAGTTGCTGCTGTCTCTTCTCTAGATGTCACTACAGAGCTGTGTGCTGTCTCTTCTCTAGATGTCACTACAGAGCTGCTGCTGTCTCTTCTCTAGATGTCACTACAGAGCTGCTGCTGTCTCTTCTGTAGATGTCACTACAGACCTGCTGCTGTCTCTTCTCTAGATGTCACCACAGAGTTGCCGCTGTCTCTTCTCTAGATGTCACTACAGAGCTGCTGCTGTCTCTTCTCTAGATGTCACTACAGAGCTGCTGCTGTCTCTTCTCTAGATGTCACTACAGAGTTGCCGCTGTCTCTTCTGTAGATGTCACTACAGAGCTGCTGCTGTCTCTTCTGTAGATGTCACTACAGAGCTGCTGCTGTCTCTTCTCTAGATGTCACTACATAGCTGCTGCTGTCTCTTCTCTAGATGTCACTACAGAGTTGCCGCTGTCTCTTCTCTAGATGTCACCACAGAGCTGCCGCTGTCTCTTCTGTAGATGTCACTACAGAGCTGCTGCTGTCTCTTCTCTAGATGTCACTACAGAGCTGCCGCTGTCTCTTCTGTAGATGTCACTACAGAGCTGCCGCTCTCTTCTGTAGATGTCACTACAGAGCTGCTGCTGTCTCTTCTCTAGATGTCACTACAGAGCTGCCGCTCTCTTCTGTAGATGTCACTACAGAGCTGCTGCTGTCTCTTCTCTAGATGTCACTACAGAGCTGCTGCTGTCTCTTCTGTAGATGTCACCACAGAGCTGCTGCTGTCTCTTCTGTAGATGTCACTACAGAGCTGCTGCTGTCTCTTCTGTAGATGTCACCACAGAGCTGCTGCTGTCTCTTCTCTAGATGTCACTACAGAGCTGCCGCTGTCTCTTCTGTAGATGTCACTACAGAGCTGCCGCTCTCTTCTGTAGATGTCACTACAGAGCTGCTGCTGTCTCTTCTCTAGATGTCACTACAGAGCTGCCGCTCTCTTCTGTAGATGTCGCTACAGAGCTGCTGCTGTCTCTTCTCTAGATGTCACTACAGAGCTGCTGCTGTCTCTTCTCTAGATGTCACTACAGAGCTGCTGCTGTCTCTTCTGTAGATGTCACCACAGAGCTGCCGCTGTCTCTTCTGTAGATGTCACTACAGAGTTGCCGCTGTCTCTTCTGTAGATGTCACCACAGAGCTGCCGCTGTCTCTTCTCTAGATGTCACTACAGAACTGCTGCTGTCTCTTCTGTAGATGTCGCTACACCACAAGCCACCGTGCAACCAGGCTTCACAACACCAGTCTGGGGAGGCACAGACAGCAAACGGTTGGAAAATCCTGGCGGTTTATATTAGTATTGTCTTCTATACTCAAGTGTATGTTACCTTATATAGACGTACTGTATAAAGTGCCGCATTCTTAGCCACTTTACAACTATTGCAAAATTGTACGTAAGGTGATCGTGGTTGAGATAAAGAGTGGGGTTGTCATTTAAAGTGGTGGTGGTGTAGCCGTGGTGACGGGAGGACAGACGGGAGTTGTTGAGCAGGGGTTGAGGCAGTGGCGTCACTTGGGTTTGTCACCCAGTGCGGTAACTCATGGTGTCACACCTCATTGACCTCCGCCCGTACTAGACCGTACAGAATCCTTCGTAATGTTTTTTGTACTAATCTTACTCGTAAATCGTAATTCCCGTATATCACTGAATGTAATGGCAATAGTTGGGACGTAAACAACTAGCAAAATTAAAATTAGACTTTTAAAATACAATCTTTACTTTAATTACTACTTAATTCTCAAAAAGTTATTGATATAGGTTCACAAATACTGATTACCACAACATTGTAGCTAAAACACCAGAAAATTTGGCAAAACCAGCGACTATAGAAACACCAGCAGCAACAAAAACAGCAGCGCGTACATGTAGCGTGTGCAGACGAAACCACGTGACTCGAAGCGTCATTGTCGTTGGTTAATAATGACAGCTCTGACCGGAGCGCATTAGAAGGTTAAAAAAGTAAATTAGCATAGAGTTTTAGCCTTGTAGGTATATTGTACATGTTATCTTGGCTTACGAAAAATGTTTTTGTTGTCATAACTAACTACAGGGATATTTTCCAAAAAATCATACATTTCCGCTGAAAAACTGCACATAAATTGTAGAGTCATTTTGGTGTCATCCCCTCTGATGGTGTCACCCGGTGCGGTCCGCACCCCCCGCACCCCCCTAGTGACGCCACTGGGTTGAGGTAGGCCTGGTCATAGCTGGTTAGGGAGTAGCAGTGGGGGTAGTGATAGGGGTTGGGGTAGTGATAGGGGTAGTGGTAGGGGTTAGGGTATGGGTGGTTATCAGGGTTGGGGTAGTGATCGGGGTTCTGATAGTGACAGGGCTTATGGTAGTGATAGGGGTTGAGGTAGTGATAGGGTTTGGGGTAGTGATAGGGGTAGTGATAGGGGTTGGGGTAGTGATAGGGGTAGTGATAGGGTTGGGGTAGTGATAGGGGTTGAGGTAGTGATAGGGGTTCGGGTAGTGATAGGGGTTAGGGTAGGCCTGGTTGTAGCTGGGAGGTGGGGTAGGGAGTAGCAATTGTAGTCGGATGGGCAAGGGAGAAGAGATGGGGGTTGTTTTAAGGGAGTGTAATGAGAGAGCGCTACCTAAGGGACGGCGAGGGGTTTTGCAGAGTCACTGCTGGATTACTTATATCCAATCAGAAGGAAGGGTTCCATCTGGGCCAAAGGTAACGGGCGGAGCTCGTGGGTATGTACGGGAAACATCTAGAAGGTTCCAGGAGGGGCGTGGCTAGAGGTGGAGCCTAGCTCCACCGAGAGCAATATAAGGAGAGGCAGTGAGAGGACTCGGGGTCGGTGTGGGAAGCCTGGAGTCCAGACTGCATCATCGCCTACCTCTTCTCACCACCGGCCACGTGGCGGGCTCTGCCAGCGAAGCCCTCTCTCCTCCCATTGCGCCGCCAGTCAACGGCGAGTGTGGAGAGAGAGAGACGCACCGCAACGGTGGACGAGGGAGTGTGCGCGTTACAGCAAGAAGAGAGAGAGCGAAGCCATCCGGAGAGAGAGAGCGGAGCTGTGCAGTCATTGTTAAATAAAAGACACAATTCAGCAGTCGTCGTGGATGTGCTTTATTACAGGAGGAATGGAAGCCGGTAATAGTGTAGTGGAGTAAACAATACGCATAGGAATTGGCCACATACAGTACATACAGACAGACAAGGTGAACGGGTCACATGAGGTCGAAACAGGTGGTCGAGTCGCGGGTGGCGTAAACAACCCGAAGTAATTAAGGGAGTCGTGGCACGAGGGCTGTGATTGGTCGAGAGGCTGTTAGTGTTAAGTGGTGGCGTCTGGATGTCTGATGGAGGGGACAGGTGCGAGCTGGCGGAAAACGGCCAGTGAGCCACGTGGCAATTAATTAAGGCTAATGCGAAAGGGGATAAAACGCGAGGTGGTTTGAACGGAGTGGAGTGGCTGCTGGGGAGTTGTTGTTGGAGAGTTGTTGCTGGGCAGTTGTTGGCGAAAGGTGAAGAGATACGAAGAAGACAGCTGGAATGTTAGGGAAGAATAGATAGAGAGCCGGACCCCAAAGACAGTAAATAGCGATAGGGAGAATCAGCGTTAGCGGAGATAGATGGAGTCACTGTGTTTGAATAGCTAGATGGAGTCACTGTGTGTGAATAGACAGACAAGATACTGTGTGTGAATAGATAGAAGAAGAACCACTGTGTGTGGAAGGGAAGTCACTGCGTGTGAAGAGATAGCGGCGATACTGTGTGTGTGAGGGGAAGGGAAGTCACTGCGTGTGAAGAGATAGCGGCGATACTGTGTGTGTGAGGAGATAGAAGACGAACCACTGTGTGTGGAAGGAAAGTCACTGCGTGTGAAGAGATAGAGGAAGGAACACTGTGTGTGGAAGGGGATGCACGGACGATGCTGAAGTAAATCGGAGTGTCCGAGTTGGCGGAGCATGGAGAGAATTACTGTGTGTACGGAACGATGGAATAAAAGTGACGGCGAAAAAGAGACGGTTGTCGTCCGAGTGAATTCACGGCACTACAATAGTAAAGACGATTGTGCTATGTGCAGTGGAAGTTTGTTTCAGTGAAGGGGAGCAAGAAGGGTGAAGGAACGAGGGTGAGACTCGGGGCGAAGGAGGTACAGAAAGTAGATTTGGGGAGCGCGCGCTGTGTGAATGTTATACAATGCAACGATTGTTATGCTTCGAGATGTAATCCAGGATATCAAGCTCGTGCCCGTTTAGCAATCCGCAAAGGCCCTCTCGTTGCGAGCCACTGCGCATGCGTTTTTTTTGTTTTGGGTGCCTGCGACAGAGAGCCGAGGGGATGGAGGTTTCGTGCAGCGACCGACAGAACTCGGCGCAGTGGCTGAGAACGCGCAGCCTGGAGAGCCACCGCCTCACCCTACCGCACCTCCTGCACAAGGGCACCGTCGTCACGTACGCTCTGCAACCTCGACGCTGCTGCCACCACCGCTTTCACGCCAACTAAATTGCAGCCCCTTGATATTCTACTGCGGGCTGAAGCAGGATTACTGACTTCTTCCACGGGGTTCTTTTATGTTATTCACTGTGGTTATAATGCACAAAACGTGGCTTTCAGACACCCCATGACCATATCTGTCAACCCCATGTCAGTGCCCTACGTTAATGTAGACCAATTCGGACCTTATTGGTCACCCCGTGCCCTTATAAATCTCAACGTTCATCCTATAAAGTTCCATCACAAGGGAGAAATAGACATTTTTTTGCCCGTACTGAAATGGCTGTATGCCATATGGACCTGAAAACTCAATTTCCTGTACAAGAATATGGGTAAACCGTATGGGTTGACAGCTATGCATGACCAAGGCCGTATTATCTAATAAGCCACAGTAGGCACGATGCCTAGGGCCTACGAAAAAAACATGTAACCAAGATATCTTCTTGAATGAATATATTAAAATAGCAAGAATAGGCAACTGTACATTCTAAGAGACAGAGTCAAGTAAATGTCAATAGGTTTTTTTCTCATAAGGTGAGAGCGACATTAACCCCGTAGATTAACTTTCGGAGACTTTTTTCATTGCAAAATTATCAATAACATCTTCAAATGGTGTTTTTTGCACAGACTCATTGTCAATAGAGAGCAATGCAAGGGAAGACAAAGGCGTTGTATGGACGAAGTTACACATGAGACAAGCGAGTGACAGCGGCGGTAGTAGTAACATGGGGCAGCAGCAGTACCATCTGTAGAGAGTTAGCGCTGAAGGTCTACAGAACAGAAGTGCCTAGGCCCTAGAGCCTACAAGGACCTTAATCAGGGCCTTAGCTAAAGGCCTTCCACCATTCCACGTTGGTCGTGAGGGGTGGGATGACCTTAAGTTAGGTCATCTACACTGGACAATCGTGGATTGGTGAATTCAGGGGAGAGCGTTGAGCTGTCACCGCTGACACTTGGGTTCGAATCTAGGCAGCTGCTGCCATGTCATGAAAGTTGAGTTTGCAACCATAGCGAGTCGATGGCCTCAGCCCAGTCACCGATGACTGCCAAAAAAATCCCATCAACATTCAACATGGTTCTGCACTTAATTTTGGCTACGTTCCTGTTCTAAGAATTAAAATATAGATTTTGACGTATGCATCACACAGCAGAACGGGTGGGAAAGTGCTGTGGTATACCGCTAGAATGAATTACAACAGATTGAGGAGGCTGGTGATGGAATGGCAGCCAAAGGAGGGAGCAATCCATACGCAATATGGATTGTATGTGGCATCGCTGGACCGTGAGGGATAGTGGTGATAATCAGAATCAAAATATTTATGTATACTGCAGGAGGAATCCGATGAGCTTTAAAGCTCTTTTTCACAGATGTCCAGCTGGGGCACAGGGTCAGAACGTTACAACAACAAACAATACAAAAAACACGATAGGGGTGCAAAGTATGGGAAATGTAAGCAAATCACTAAAAAAATATACAAATAAAACTAAACTTATATTTTACCAGGTAAAGCCCACTCAGCTATTAGCTTCTTTTTCAGAAGCGACCTGGCCACAAATGATAGCTCAATTAAGTAGCTTATCATGTGGAAATTTATAGCAGCCAAAACTCTAAATAACCTAAATGCAAATTTATAAATGTAGAGGGAAAAAGCAGAAGACCTGGAGAAAAAATCCACACAACCATGGGGAGAGAGACATGCAAACCCCAAATATACAGACTTCAGGGTCAGGATCGAACCCCCAAACTGCTGCAAAACAGGCGAGGAAGATATCCATTGGATTGGCAATGGTGAATTCCACTCGGAGACACTAATACGTAGCGTGCACAAGTGAAATTCACACTGTGCAAATTACAGAAACAAGCTACGGGACAAGTTACATACTGTCCGCGTTACAGGACATTTCATAAATTATTTCCATGCTGCCCATTCCCTCGTCAGTACACAGTGCCATGTTGCTGCCATTGAAATGCCCCTGAGTGCTAGCGACCATGACGTTTAACTCACCTCCCTGCTATGCCCTGCCATTGTGTGCACTTGCCTGCTACCTTAGCAATCACCCATTGTACTTCCACACCGCCAGTGGGCACGATAGCAGTCATATACGGCAACAGACGACCGGTGACATCCAGACATGGACAGATCAGAGCTCGCAGGTTCACTCACTGCGGTCATGCAGCTCCGTTCCGTGTTATTCAACACTTTGCATTACTCTAGTTCTGTAGAATATCCCGTTGACGTGAGTGTTATATGAACACCTTCTGGGGCAGCAGGGTTGATATTGTCGTAACACTTTGCGCCTCACGGCATGGGTTTGATTCCTGACTCGAGCGTCTATTTGCGTGGAGTTTATGTTCTGTTATGCGCGAGTTTTCTCCAGAGTTCTGCGGCTTTCCCTCATCTCACACTGAAAATGTACCTGCAAGTTACTAAACTATTTTTATTTTTACCAGGTAAGGCCCATTGAGGTATATAGCTCTTTTTCAGAAGCGACGTGGCCACGAATGATACATCAACAAAGTGGCTTATCACGTGGAAATGTATAGCAGCCCTCGAAACGCACGTTTCTAAATGTGGAGGGAAAAACCGGAGGACCCGGAGAAAAATCCACATGAACACAGGGAGAGATAGAGGGAGACGTGCAAACTCCAAGTTTTGCGGCATCGTCAGGGTCGGGATGGAACCCATTACCTCCTGTATATCAGGCGAGGTAGTTAACATCTCGCCACTGCAACGCCCAAATTGGGATTACATAACATCGCCCCCCCTTCTGCAAAAACATTTCAGCATCCTCCTGAACAAGAGTCCTGAGACTCTGTGAGGCTTTCCGGGTGACCAAGCATAACATAAAAAACATGTTCCAAAAAGGTACGCATTTTTGTGATGGCATTAATTCACAAAGGCCTCCCACCATGCCCGGCCGGTGCTCGCCGAGCTGCACTGGCTTCCAGTTGCCGAACGAATTCGTTATAGGGTTGCAATCCTTACACACAAAGTGCTTGCCACAAATGAATCACAACACCTTGGTGATCTCGTCAAGGAATGTAAACCATCACACGAACTTTGGTCATCCTCGCAGTGGCGGATTTTGGCTGGCCATCAAACAAAGACGGTCACCGCATCACGCGCTTTCAGCGGCCGTCTGGAACTCGATGTTAGGAAGCCACTGAAGCTATGCACTTTTAAATCATCTAGATTGGGAACTAATTCTTTCGACCTGCTTCTTGTCTTTTCGTGTATTGTCCTTTCCCCAGCAAGTTTGGCTACGTATGGTGCCAAGAAGTTTAATGTAGATAGATTATAAAAGTTAGCTGGAAGTAAAAAAAAGGAAAGATTGTACTTGTAATACTTTTTCTGACCTTTTTTTAATTGCATATGCATCCAGTTTGCTGTGTGACAGCTCATGCGCCTGCAATGCCGCCGATGAGCCGGGCGGCAGGTGAATCCTCTGCGCTGTCATTTCCTGTTTTGCGTTTCAACAGGAGCCCTGGGCCAGACGTGCAGGAGCACTTACACTTCAGTGCTGCTGTCATTGCCGAGTTCGAAACCAAACTGCACCAGTAAGTGAACTGCATTTGTCTTCAACTAAATCGCGGATGATTAGGCAGTGATACTCATAAGTCGTCTGGCATAATTTGTCTAATTTTGCATGACGTTCAATAATGTTGGAGAAAAAAATGTTGCGACAGGCAATTTTCTATATGTATGGCAACTTGAACCCTTTTCCGTTCCAATAACATACTTGTCATCGGTATAAAAAAATAATGGATTTTGTCCTTTCTGGCAATAAAACAGGTGTTAAGATGTTCAAACACCAAATAGAATACCTTTTGCAAGGAATCAAGTCTGCATTAACCACACGTACTTGTGAACATGCATACAAACATACTCTGATAATATATGCAGTTTTTCTTCCGATTCCGCTCCGATGACGTATATGTACACATCATCTGAACAGTACCCGAAGAAAACTAAAAAATGAAAAACTTTATTGGTACCGAGGCTCCCACAAGGCCACGGGGGAGGGCGCGTGGCAGTTTTGGCACCGGTTATCGTAGAGTGCGGCGGTCGTGTCACTACGGTTCTCGGCGGGAACCTCTTTAAAAACAAGGGCACGACTACGCCTTTCTAAATAAAATTAACGCCGAGCCGCTCGTGCGTTCCGAGATTCAGCGGTGAATGGGACACCACCACACCCTGCGACTTGCAGATGTCTCGGAACGGGAAAAGGGTCAAGAGAATATTTAATACTGTATATATAAATTGTACATGTAAAGCCACATTATTGTGCTGATGTCCAGTTGATTGCTTGTTTTGATAATCATCACCAGCTCCATCAATCCATTATCATCATCCATGGCCGGTGATTGTGAAAGGCTTAGATGAATGGAGGAATTGCCTGCACCACTCCTTTTGTTCATGAAATTGCTGCAGGTATCGGGAGTTTTCCATGGATAGATTTGGCCGTGCAGTTATAGCTTTATATATGTGTGTATAGATTTATATATTTTTGTGAACAAAGCATACCCGATTTATGTCTCTCCCTTTGACGACGTTTTCGCAAATCTGTCGTCACGTTAATATGAACACCGCTACCTGATTTGCGTCACCTCACCCCACTCATGTCGCTGACAGCATCATTGTTCGTCTTGTCTCGTTACTGTAACCTCTCAGCCTTCGCCTCCACCTGGAACCGCTTTGCGTCGCCTTAAATAAATATACTAAAACTGTAGAGAACAATATTATTTATGTACGGGTATTTTGGTGATTTGTGTTTTATAGGGAACTGCATCTTAATGTACCCTAAGTCATTTGTGTTTAAGTTTACTGCGTTGAGTGCGGTATTTTGTAATGTAACGTAACGTTGTTGGGTACTCTAGGATGAAGATGCGAGCGTTAACACAACGCGTCACCACACAGCCTCCATTGTCTTCACTTTCTTTGCCGTCGCTTCGATATTCCCCGTCGAGGTCGCAGCTTTCAGGAATGCACCTTCCCGCCGGATTTAAACCGGGGTGCTACTCTTCTGTATTGGCAGTGGTGCACAAGCAACTAACTCAACATATTTGTAATCACACTGCCTTAAAAATAAGATATTTATATCTTAAAGTAAACTCGTTATTTTTGTAAGGCGGTATTTTTTTCATGAAATACGGCTCGCTGTTACCTGAGAGGTGTGTAGATGTGGCTCATTGACAAGTGCGATGATGTGACAAGAGCGGAGCACTGCGGTTTATGGTTAAGGGGCAAGTTAATATGTGTTAACTAGTTACTAGCCGGAAAGCCTGTTCACGATCGTCTTCATTGATAGGTTGTACAAAACATCGCACAATATGCCTTTGAAATGCATTATGGGCACAACATGATAATTAATGGTCAATAATTTCCAAAAATAATTAAAATCAAATATTGGTTGAAAGATACAAATATAATGTGATCGTCAAAGTGATTCTTGCTCAATCGAGCGTGAAGGTGTTGCTCGTTTCTTTTTACAATCCTGAACCAGTGATGGAAATTCCATATTCTTATGACGGGGGTGATTTTATTCATAGAACAAGTGTTGACTTCCAATGTCACGACTGTGACTGTACAAAAAGGAATTATGCAATTAAACATTACATATCCCTAACGCGTTTGGATGTGCGTAGCGATAATCATTAACGTGAGCGCGATAGAGTGCGTGCGTGCATCGATCCTCACCGTCCAGCGTTTATTTCTATTTTCAGGATGATTGCCCTTTATCATCAGAGGATCAAGTGGCTGTTGCAGGACAGCAGGAAGGTACTGTGTATTAAATGTACATTTGACGACGGAAGGTCAAACACTTAATGCTATCTTTTGTAAAAATTTCCAAAAGTGGAATGGGTGAGGCACAGAAGTGATGTCACCGTGGGTTAATTTCACTTGCGCAAGCTTCGTTACGCTAATTTGTGTGTATGTATGTTGAACTCCTTTCGTAGCCAGCCGTGCTTGTATAAGGACTGGGAATTGCGTATTTACTTTTGCATGTTGATTAGTGGATTCAGAGGTTCATCATCAAGTAGAATATTTTCCCAGCACGTTCAGGGATCCTATAAATACTCCCAGCGTTAGTATTTTTGTTATGCTTCCCGATTATAGTGAAGGCTATTCAAAGGGCAGGACTTTAAAACAAATTCGGCAAATTCGGACTATAATGCTGCACATGATGGCCTACTCTCTTAAAAAATAAAAGTGAGTCGAAATGATGAAGACACACACCGATAGAATGAATGGCAGTAGATTGAGACTGGTGATGGAATGGTAGCCAAAGGAGAGAGCATGCCATAAGCAATACGGATTGTACATGGTGGCATTGCAGGACCATGAAGGATATTGGGTGATAATCATAATCTTTATTTATCCTGGAGAAATCCGATGAGCTGCAAAGCTCTTTTTTTTACAGATGTCCAGTCGGGGTGGGTAAAAAAAAAACATGCAAAAAAGGAAAGGTAAACAAATCACAAAAAATATACAAATGAAACTAATTTTTTTGTTGTATCTTTGCCAGTTAAAATCCAAATAAGGTATTAACTGATTTTCAGAAGCGACCTGACCACAAACGATAGCTCAACGAAGTGGCTTATAAAAAATACCGATAGGAGCGCAAAGCATAGGAAGTTAATCAAATCACTTATGTTGGAATTAAGTGGATTTTTTAAGATTTAATGTTTAAAAAATAAATATTAACTGTGATAATTGAAAAAAAATCATAAATATGTTTTCAACAACAACAACAACAAAAAAGCCCTGAACTGACAACAAAAAAGCCCTGAAACTGATGACAAAAACTTTATAAAGTACATCATGTTTGGGCATCTGTGTCCAACTGTACAATTAAAAGTGTCTGGGTTTGATTCCCACACTCAGGCACCTCTCTCTGTGTGGAGTTTGTACGTTGTCTCTCCCCCTGTTCCGCGCGGGTTTCCCTCCAACTTCTCTGGTTTCCTCCCATTGTTAAAATAAATTACAATGTAACCGGTATTGGCCAAACATCCCAATGCTGAAAAAATACCTGAAAATATCTCGATATATGGATTACACGAAGCAGCAACAGCAGCAGCAACATCGCCCCATATTGCAAAAACTTGGCAGGAACCTCCTTAAAAAAGAGTATTGCAACTCAGTGGAAGCTTCCTGGGTAAACAAGAGATATTTATAATTTTTTACTATATTTATCTACCAGGCAAGGTCCACTGAGCTATGTAGCTCTTTTTCAGAAGCGACCTGGCCACAAATGATAGCTCAACGACGTGGCTTATCATGTGGACATTTATAGCAGCCCAAAACGCTTGATGTTGATTCTAAATGTGGAGGGAAAAACCAGAGGACCAGCTGAAAAATCCTGGTGACCACGGAGAGAAAGAGACACCGCAAACTCCAAATGTACAGCAGGTGCTAGGGTCAGGATCTAACCCACGACCTCCTGTATACCAGGTGAGGTAGTTAACATCTCACCACCGTGGCGCTCCCAGAGATAACAACAATTATAACTTGAAAAATTTCACTCATCTATAGTGTTGAATATTATAAGTACGAATGTGTATAGTTTAGGGAGTACTTGTAAAGTTTTTAAATGTACATCAGATAATCGGCAGCCCCAAAAGCACATCACGGGCTATTTTGCGTGACAATTCACATTTCAAAATGCGGATTTGTAGACAGCCACCCTCTCGTGGAATTGATGGCGATGTATGCGGAGAATATTTCAGGTGCCTCTGCTGACCGTGATGCGTCGGGACGCACCCGCGACCCATTGAATCTGCTCGCACCTGCTTCCTGTAACAGGCGGAGGGGACGGGGGAAAAGCGCTCGCCACCGTGTATCCAAACGCACGTGCAGCACGCCTATTCCGTTGCGAGGGCCGTTTGGGAAATGTTCACAATTCATTTGGTGAAGCGATGGCAGGCGGGGAAAAGTCAATAAGCTTGCAGCTGTGTCGCACGAGGCCTGCTATTTTGTCACGGCTGACAACAAACGTCAATAAATAAAATACCTGTTGAGACCTCTGGAACATCACGTTCATCGTGATAGAAAGATACACTTCCCTTCTATGTCACCATCATCAGCCATTGTCTTTCACACCGATGGATGAGAGCCCCCATTTGCCTCTGTCATTTCTTATGGTCCTACAACGCTACACACTACCTAAAACTATTTAAGCAATTTTTTTATTTTTATCAGGTAAAGGCCCACTGAGCTAGGTAGCTCTTTTTCAGAAGTCACCTGACCGAAAATGATAGCTCAACGAAGTGGCTTATCACGTGGAAATTTACAGTGGCCAAATACTCTTAAACGTGTGTTCTTGATTCTAAATGTGGAGGGAAAAACCGGAGGACCCAGAGAAAAATCCATGTGTACATAGAGAGAGATATTCATGCAAACTCCAAATATACAGCAGGCATCAGGATCGGGATCAAACCCACAACCTCCTGTTTACCAGGCAAGGTAGTTAACATCTGGCCACCAATGCCATGGTGAATAAACCAACTCATAATAGAGATCCATTGTAATTAATATGACTACATTAACCCCCCCCCCCCCTCTGGTCTTTGCACCTGATTGACTCACAGTGACGACATCACATTTACTCCCACTTCTAATTAAGACCAAAACAGGAGGATGATTTATCCACAATTCTGGCTGTCGCCTGATGATGCTGGTTGTCGTTGTTGTTATTACCGGCAAATTGTCATGGTACTCGAATTGTAAATGTTGTAGTGGGTTTACTCTCGAACACAACCGGTTCGTGCTGAACTAGTAACTAATTGGGTTTTGTTTACGTAACAAGCCCCTGACTAATTGGCCGTGTCGAGTGGTGGTGGCGGAGATTAACGACATGTTTATATTTACACGATCCAACCTAACAAAAAAACCTCTGTTACAGGTAACAATCAAGTTGGTTGGCGGTGGAACGGTGTTACTACACCAATTCTGTGTTCTCTTTGCGTTTCCCCCGTGCCCCCCCCCCCCACCGCCTGTCCCCTGCCGGTCACGCTTGGAACCGTGCAGTTGTTTGGGCCTGGTGCAGGGCACTCGCGTGGCCGTGATCGTGGACTCGTCCGATGCTAACTGTGTGCACCGGACGCCTCTCGGATCTCAGGACGTCGCTTCTGGTAACCTCTCTCGACGGGCACAGCCGCGGAGAGTTTTGTAACTTTCACGAATTCTGCTTTTTCGGCCCCGGTTTTGACAATTTTGCGTCGGGATAACGTCAAGCCTTGCCCCCCCACTCCTCATCGGGGGGTACCCTCCAAACCGCCGCCGTGTGTTGGGTCATTGCGACATGAACCAGAAAAAAACATGGAATAGTTATCACCTTCACATTTTAAATGCAACAGATCGAGTGTGGCGTTACGCGTGGTGTCTTGAGTGCATTGCTGAGTCGGTTTGCTTTGGCCTGCCGTCGTGAGTTTGGTTTGCGAAGTGGAATTACCTGCGTGTGCGGGTGTCATGCTCCTGGAGTGCGATTGTCGATGCATTCCTGTGCCAATGTCACCACAGCAACTGGTGGATGAGCAGCTATGCTACAGGAAGCAGCTGTACCTGCTGAGCTGTGGAAGCAAAGAGAAGCCACTGTGGGACACGGTTCGACACGTCAACTTGCGCATGTGAGCACGCCCGCGTCACTCCGGGATGCACAGCCATCCAGCTAGAAGTTAGAAAGCATCTCAGCTTGAAGCCACGGTGGCGACATGTTAACTACCTTGCCTGGTATACAGGAGGTAAACTATAACCAGGTAAGGCCCCCTTAGCTGTAGAGCTCTTTTTCAGAAGTTACTTGGCCACAAATGATAGCCCAACAAAGTGGCTTAGCACATGGACATTAAAGCAGCGAAATACTCCAAATGCATGTTTCTAAATCTGAGTGGAAAAACCTGAGAACCCAGAGTTTTCCATGGGTTCGATCCCGACCCTGATGCCTGTATATTTGGAGTTCGCATGTCTCTTTCTCCATGGACGAGTGGATTTTTCTCCAGGTCCTCCGGTTTTTCCCTCCACATTTAGAATAATATCACGTGTTTAGAGTATTCGACTGCTATATACATTTCCATGTGATAAGCCACTTCGTTGAGCTATCATTTGTGGCCAGGGTGCATCTGAAAGAGAACTACCGCAGCTCAGTGGGCCTTACCTGGTAAAATACGAATATTATTAGTTTAGATTCAGTTAGAAGTTGATTTCCTGAGTAAAGCCCGTAGAGCTAAGAAGCTCATTTCCAGGGTGACACAGTCGGCAGACAACAAAGCAATCCACATTACAGATTTAAAAAAAACTTAATCAGAGCAATTATATTGTAATCTTACATTCACACTTAAACATGAGTGATTTTAATGGAGTCATTTTACATGAGGACAGAGATAACAGAATGCCAAGAGACGAAACTAGGGTGGGGTTCAAAACACTTTGAGGCAGCAGCTACATTGAATGCTTTTGATACAAATTGTGTGTGAAATAATGTCCATCGATTATCTGGCGCGTGATTATCTGACTTCCAAACATTACCCGGCGGTTCCGGGCGAATCCGGTGAAACCACTCCAAAGGCTGTCACCAGTCTGGCTATCGGGCACACGCGTGCGTGACAAAAAAAGTAGCTATGCTTGATTCCATGTCAAATATATACACAACATACAACTTAAACAATGATTATACGGATGTATATACATCTTTCGTGACTCATAACTACAGTAATAAAAACAGAAATTATACACGGTGCGATCCGGCGAAAAGTTGCGTGCAATTCGGCCGTTCGCCGGAGCACCGGACCAGAAGGCTGCATCACTCCGGCAATTGTCCAAACACGTGGGTCGTGGTTGATAAAGGAGCATAGTGGTGCTACGTACATTATCACAACATGAGGCAGCCTTTCTGATTGGAGTGGTAAGTACAGTAATTACGTGAACCTTTTACAGTCATTTTGTCTACTTGTATGTGTATGACAATTTCACATGGCACAATGTAAAATACTAGCAAAAATCATATACACAACACAAAAAACGTAATGTCATCCAAGAATGTGCAAAAATAAGCTATTTAAATTATGAGTGATCATCCGGCGTTTTTGGAAACCCGGCACCCCCCTCCCCCCGAATAATCATCGATGATCGTCGACGATCGACTGTGTGAATAAACAGACGCGCGCCACAGCTTTTTAGGAATGTCCGATTGGTAATAGCAACAGGTCAGACAATTACAGAGAGCGGATCTATGGACAACAGCCTTCTAAAATGAAAAATATCCGGCTACGCTGCGCACTGGCGTCATAACAACAGCAGTCATTCACCGCCCCTTTGTCAACTCACTGATGGATGAAGATTCCCCCCACGCCGTTGTCGAACATGGCTGCTCGTGTGACCATCAATCACCACCAGAGTGGTCAGGACGGATTAGTGTGGAGGGAGGGCCGGGCCCCAGGACTGGTGCAGGACTATCACTCACCACCGATGTTAGCCCTGGCCATGAATCGAACTCGGGAGACCGGGCTCAAAGCGCAGTGCGCTAACCCACCGCTCCACTCTGCTTGCACACTGCATGACCGTGGCATGACCGAGGCAACATACCGCTTACCTGACATCGCGTGCGTGCGGAGAGTCTGGAAGTTAATCAAGGCGTCTGATTGGTGCAGGGAGGCTTCAAAGCCGATTGGTTAGGGTATGAGATTCAAAGGGATTGGAGGAGAGATTCAAAACGTAAAAGACGGGAAACGAGGGTTGATTGCCGGGGCGACGGTTGACGACCGTTGGAGACGAGGATTGGCTGAGGGAAATGGGGTCAGCGAAGCTTCCAGAAAGGGGGCTCGGAGGATATAAAAGCACAAGGAGAGGACGACGCTTTGGGGAGAAGGCGTAATTCGTGCATCAAGAACCGAATTGCAGACTCATGATACTGCTGTGTCCGAATAAAGGTTCTTAAGTAATGAAAGAAACCACGTGTGTCGCACAGTATCACAACTTTATTAAAAAAAAAAGTCAAGTTCATATCCAGTAAAATCTGATATTCCAGAACTTTCTGTCTAATCATTTATTAAATAGGCTCACGATGCTTTACTAAAAACAACCAGTCTCACTTATTGATAAATGTTTTCTGGAGTAAACTGATGGAATGATGTTTGCATGATGTCATCATTTTATTAGCTCGTGTAAATTAACCGCTTATTTCTTCGTGTAACTGACAACTTGTGCGTTATAATAAGCACGAGAGATTGTAACGGTCAGACAGGTTTATGGCAGGCTTATGTTTTGGTTAATTGCAGTTGAACGTCTAATCTCAATTTACGCTGGAAGTACAGCTAAGCACGACACAATAACATTGCGTAACAAAATGCTAAGTTATGAAATTTGATATCGTAGCATGAATAAAAAATATAATATCGCGGCAACCCGAGTATATACAGGAATGGAAACCTGTCTCATTGAGTGTGAAGGACGCTTAAACTCGCAGGGAAGGAAAACTGCACCCATTAAACGTTATAATAAGAGTTGTAGTTAAACTGCAGTGAGATGTACAGAAAGGTGATGAGACGGTTTGAGGTAAAAAAAAATATTAAGAGGCCGTCACGACAAGCGAGGGTATGAAGTGGACAGACGGAAACTGAACTAACTCGGCTGGAATGAAAATAATTGCAGTGAAGTGCAATGACAGGCTATGAAAATAAAACTGATATAAATTGCAGTATGTTAATGCTCGTTACAGCCACATTCGTAAACGAAGCACATTTGTAAACAGTAAATAAAATTAAGCTTGTACGTGCTGACAAATGTAACTGAACCTTTCAGCTGACTGTGTGTACTGTATGTATGTTGAACTTCTTTCGTACATAGCCAACCGTGCTATTCGGAGGTGCGGATAGACCTTTAAAGGAATTCATTGGTGATGATACACGCTTTTACAAATGATGATTTCCTTTTTCGGTCACTCAGTGATACAATATTCTGATTGAATCTGCCATACGTGGTCAAAGTAAATCCTTGGTTTCATTGATTCACTTTGCCTTTCGGATCCTGCAATACAAATCGGTTCTCGTAACGTATTTATATTGAGCCGTTCCCGCACAACGATTTAACTTGTAGCCTATCTCCAGCCCGCTGTGAATGTCATCGTGCCACGTGTAACCGATGGTGGCTCTCAAATGCCATTCTACGAGCGTACAATTCGAATGATATTCCGTCATCGACTTCTGAATGAAAAATTTCCACAGAGCTTTTTACAAACGACGCTGTCAACCTTATCACGCACCGAAAGCACACCGTGGCCTTTTTTCCCATGTAACATCTTAAGGCACACGAGAATGCGCCTGGCTTAACTTATCTTAATGCAGTGTTAACCCCTCTCCCATTCCGATGACTTACGTGCGTGTATGTCATTGGTTTTTCTTCCGGTTCCGCTCCAATGATGTACGTGCACTTGTACGTACATCATCGTAACAATTGGAAGAAAAAATAAAAATAACTTTATAGGTACCGAGGCTCCCACAGCCATGCGGGAGGGCATGTGGCACATTTTGGCGCTGGCTATCGTAGAGTGCGGCGGTTGTGTCGCTACGGTTCTCTGTCGTGAATAACGTCTTTAAAAACAACGGCGCTTCGCCTCTAAATAAAATTAACGCCAAACCGCTCGCTTGTTCCAGAGATGTAGCGGTGAACGGGAAACCCATCCTGCAACTTGCGGTCGTCTCAGCGGCACGGTTGCTTGGGTTCAATCCCGACCCTGATGTCTGTATATGTGGAGTTTGCATGTTCTCCCCATGATCGCGTGGATTTTTCTCCAGATTTTCCCTACACATTTAGAATTGACACGCGTTTAGAGTATTTGGCCGCTATAAGTTTCCACATGGTGATAAAGCACTTCGTTGGGGTATCATTTGTAATAGCCAGGTCACTTCTGAAAAACAGCTACATAGCTCAATGGGCCTTACCTGGTAAAATAAAATAATTTATAGTTTACCTCCTGTATACCAGGTGAGGTAGGTAACATTTTGCCACCGTGGCAAAATTTATAAGTTAATACCTCAGTGGGCTTTACCTAGTGAGATAAAATTTTGTTTAGTTATATTTGTATATTTTAAAAAGTAATTTGTTTACCTTTCCTATACTTTGTATTCCTTTTTATAGTCCCGGAAACGGGAAAGGGTTCATTTCCAACAAAGAATGCGGTGCATATAGCTTCCATCGTGACCATCGTCCCTCATGCCCCGGATGTCATGCTGCGGCGAGCTCCTCGTGCATGGCAGCGGCTGCGCGACGCGTCTGTGTTGGTCTCACGATTACACTCAACGTGCCCTCCTCCCCGCGTGTGAACGCCCTGCAGTGTGAACGAGGCACGGCAGTGGGCGAACGAGCTGGCGGGCAGCGGAGGAAGCAACGTGCTGGCCGCGGTTAAACGGGTGCTGTGCGCTCCCGACGTCTCCTCCGTGCTGCTCGTCCTGGGCTCGTGGTGAGGAAATCGAGAATGGGGGTTTCACCCCTGTGCAGCTGACGGAGTCACGGTGACTGCGGTGGCGTGTGATTGAAGGGTGTTTGCCCCCCGGGGGGTTTTTCGATGTTGGTAGTTTAGTTTTATGGTGACTCAGGGACGATTTTATCTTAGTTTGAAACGTCTCTGTGGATTTTCAGTTTACATCGATCACATTTTTTTTACATATTAGATGAACGGCCCACGGAGATTCATTATCGCTGTTATGAGGTGGACCCCTGTGTCTGTCCGTAGTTTTTTTGTAGGGTCCTCACGTTGTAGTGGTTTTGAGTTTTATGGTGGAGATTTAAGAATGTTATGCCAGCATTATTTGGGTGGTTTTGTGAATGATGTGACGGACCGCACGATGTTCACTTATCCGCAGACGGTGTGCTTCAAAAAATGTCGGTCATGAATTGCAAGGCAGCCGTGTTGAATTGGACGATTGACTGCCTTACGAGCAAGCATTTTCTCCAGGCCACGAGATTCTCCATCAAATTAGGAGAGTGAGCAAGCAAAATACAAAGTATTAAATGCACAACTCTGTAATGTAGCTACAGTGATAGGTGCTCAGAAGCTCCAGGAGAAAACCTGCCATGCTTTGCATGCCCTCTGATAATCAGGCTTAGAATATACCTCCGCATGCCCAAGTGATAGGCCACTTCGTTGGGCTATGATTTGTGACCAGGTAATTTCTGAAAAAGAGCTCTGTAGCTCAGTGGGCCTTACCTGGTAAAATAAAAGTAGTTTATAGTTTACCTCCTGTATCCCAGGTGAGGTAGCTAACATCTTGCCACCGTGGCAAGATAAATAATTTGATACCTCAGTGACCTTTACCTGGTGAGATAAAAGTTTGTTTGGTTTTATTTGCATATTTTTAAGTGATTTGTTTACCTTTCATATACTTTGCACTCGTATCGTATTTTCGTATTGTTTGTTGTAATGTTCTGACCCGCGCCCTCTACTGGACATCTGTGAAAAAATAACTTTTTCGTCATCGGGTTCCTCCAGTATTAAATACATCTGATTCTGATTATTACGATTCTTATATCAGCCTGACTGAACGAAGGCAAACACGGGAAAAGGCGCAGCTCCTGGAATTGCTCTGGAGTGCCCCGCTTCAGGGTAGTGAGGCTGATTCCTCCACGCTGATGAAAAACGTCTCGAAAGCGGCGGACGTACCCACGCTTTACCCCATCACGCACACCACTTTACAATCGACCGGCGTGCTCATTAATACCGCTGGATGTGAACCCCTAACCCTGAGCCTTTTACCTGGAGTGGGACCATGGCCTTCTCTCCCGAGCAGTCCAACAGTATTCCCTGACCCTAACTCTTACCCGGAGTAGAACCGTGACGTTCCCTCTCGAGCAGTCCAACAGTATACCCTAATGTTTGCCCAGAGTAGAACCGTGACGTTCACTCCCTAGCGGTTCACTGGCATTCCTTGACCTCTAACCTTGACCCTTACTTGGAGTAGAACCGTGATATTCCCTCCCTGGTGGTTCACTGGCATTCCTTGACCTCTAACCTTGTCCCTTACCTGGAGTAGAACCATGACTTTCCCTCCCTAGAGGTCCACCAGCAATCTCTGACCCTAACCCTTACCTGGAGTTAGAATTGTGACCTACCCTCCCTAGCGGTCCAACAGCACTCCCTACCCCTGACCGTTATGCTTGTCTGGAGTAGAACTAAAAAAAATATACTGCTGGGTGGACAGAGAGAGGAGGGGATTTAAGAACTATTTAACTATTTTTATTTCACCAGGTAAGGCCAACTGAGCGATGTAGTTCTTTTTCAGAAGCGACCTGGCTATCGCATACAATAGCTCAATGAAGTGGCTTATCATAATCGTGTGGAAATTCATAGCAATCAAATACTCTAATCGCATGTTCATTATAAATGTGGAGGGAAAAACCGGTGGACCCAGAGAAAAATCCACACGACCATGCGGAGAGAGACACGGGGTCGGGGTCGATCCCATGACCTACTGCATACCGGGCGAGGTAGTTAACATCTCGCCACCACGGCGCCCCCTATCAGGCACAGACACCATTGGGCACATGTATGCCAATAGTGTTTCTATCAGGGCCCTGCTCAAGCGTCACTAAAGCCTTCTCGTGTGCACTGCGCACACAGAAGGGAAACGACCCTCTCTTGGCCATGAGATCGTAGAGCGGTGTTCTTCACTAATTTTCAGAGGGGGCTACTTTTGCTGATAAGACATCATCAGTTTGTTGGCCGCCACACATTCGAAACCATTGGGGTTTGTGACAGCAGCACGACGTGGTGATTGGGGGGGGGTTTCACACTTCCGTATTGTTGGGGGGCCGCTCGTCAGGGGCCGGCACTAAAGGCCACTCAGGGACTTTGCCAGTGGCCCCGTGGTGGCCTTGCAACAAATGCTGCCATAGACCCTCGCTCACTTTACACCACTCGTGGAAGTATACCGTATGATGGGCAGCATGTTTATCCATAATAATTAGCCAGTGCCCAGTTCAGCATCAGCCAATTGTGATGGGTTTAGGCTGAGCCAGGCTGTTTGGTGGTGTGAGGCTCCCTGCGTGGCCTTTTTTTCCCCCGGGCGTCACAGTGCAGGCAGGCACGTGGAGCCGCTCCGCCCTGTCCCCCTCTCCTCTCGTGAAACCCTGCGAGCGGGGGGGGGGGGACACGTCGTCTAAATAGACAGCAACAACAACAAGAACGATAAAAACCATTATAAAGTTCGGAGACGATCATGAGTAGAGACTCTGCGTTGTGTTCTGTCCTCCGGAGAAGCGGGGCGACTCCACAACAGCTGAGCACCAGGAGGGGTTTGTAATAGGGCACAACTTCATTTCAAAAGGCTTCTTCATAAGGGAAAATTGCGTATATGCTGCAATAGCGATCAGATACCACACACTCCACGTCACTACACCGCAGCTGAATTCCTCGGTCCGGAGGTCAGCCCAAATCTCAATTGGGGGGGTGGGGGTGCCTCATACTCTGCTGTGCACGTGGGGGCATGGGTTCCAATCCCTGATCACCATCGTATTCACTTATAATACAAAAACGCACTGGGCTTACCCGTAGCTATGCAAAAACGGTATCTTAGGTTCCCATATGCCACAGAATGCACAATTATACATGCGATTCATTACAGGTAAGCCTACACCGGCTGCGCAGGCAAGCATGGCCGGCCATTCGCTTGATACGGTCTGAGCAGAATTCTTTTCTTATCCATACCAGCAGCGAGTAAAATTATGATGGATAAGTTGATGGATTTATATATATGTTGTGTGGTGTAGAACGACGCGAAGACAGAACTTCTTGTATGGGCTTACGCCGGTTTATAACAGGGATACACACACCACATATAGGTGTCCACTACACTCGGTCCTTCCCTTGGACCCCAGACCCTATTCTTTCCTAACCTCGGCTATTCCCTTGGGTTGTCTCACTCGAGTCGGGACAGGGGTTCAGCCAACACCTCCCGACCGAGGAGAGAAGAACCCTACTTATTCTCAGCCGACTCTCATAGACTTCTCTGGGCCCGGCTCTCGGCTATCCCTTTGGTTCTCCCACTCGTCTAACCCAGACGGGGGTTCAGCCAACACTGTCCGGTCACGAGCGGGAGAGACCTTCTTCAACCGCTCCACATCCCGGGCTCCCATAACGACCCCGCCTTTATCACAGGGTCCCCCTTAAGTATCCCCTTTGGCGGCTCCTCCCCCTTTCTCGGACCCATCCCCGTTCTTCTCGATATCTTCCTATGGCACTCATGACATGACGTCATGACGCCTCACGGCACACATGATGTCACGTCATCACACTACTCCTCTACATATATATCACTTCTCGGTCTTGCCCGGCGTTAATACATTATATCTATATATAAAATGGAAATTTGGGGGGGGGGGGGGGGGCGCAATAATGGATATTTTTTTGCACGGCAAGTGAGCGGTGATGTCACATCTGTGATGTCACCCACATGCGGCAGCGTCACGCAGTGTGCCTGCTGATGTCACGCACCCCCCACCCTCTGCGTAGGCCGTGTATTAATCCAAGACAAGAATCTAAGTCTCGGGCGAAGCCGGGTAGTAAAGCTAGTGATCTATACATAGTGATTTTGAGGTGGTTCATCATCGGCCATGATCTATTCACTGCTGGATGAAGGCCTCCCCAAGCTGTGTAACAAATCGACTAAGCACCCTTACGTGAGCTCACTTAATTTTTCCAGCTCCACGAAAGAATATTCCCTGGGGGGGGGGGGGGGGGGGGGGGGCGTGCTCTCTCCTTTGACACTCTATTGTTAGTCTCGACCACCGTCCATCCCATTCAGTGACTTGTTCTGCCCAAGTCCATTTGCTTTCCTTCACAGTCAACATCTTATCCTTAACGTGTGGGTGTGTGTTCTCTCATTTGTTTATTGTCCTGTATCTCAGTCTAATTCCAATTCATGCACCTCCACAATTATTTTATTACTTTTTAAAAACTTTTTTTCTTTCTTAATTTTCTCTGCCAAATGTTGACGTGTCTGCTCTTAATGTCATGCAGATGATAGACGCCGATGTTTTATTTTTGTAGGGGCATTCGAGTGTTTTTTGCCTTGCATTGTCGCATTAAAGAGATGGAGGAGAGTGCACTGGAGTGCTTTAAAAAAACGACACATCACGATGAAAAAGCAACAAATTAATTTGGAAAACTGCGGATTTTTCCAAATTGGCTCGTCAGGATAAAAATCACCGACGCAATAAAAACCCTTCTGCCACGAGCGAGCGAGCGACCGACTGAATGACCGACCGACTGATTGATGTAAATGCCGCGAAACTAATTGCCAAAGCAGCTTAATGTGTAGTAAGTAAAAAAATAGAAATTGTTGCATGAGGAAAACGTGAACATTTCCTCTCTCAAAAATTTAACGGAGCCAAGTTTTTCACTGTTACATGCCAGCGCTTCTTACGGGGCTCATAGAGGGAAGGGCCGCTTATCCGTGGAAAATA